GATCCAGTCTTGACCAGAATGACGGTGCATCCAGAATGATGGTTCTGGTTGCGCGCTTGAAGTAGGCGACCCCTGGCCCATTTCCATCCGTCTCACATTCTCCACATTTTTCAAGCGCTTCACCACAGACTCGGGGAATCACGCTGTTTGACCCACTTCAAGGGTCGAAGTCAAATTACTACGGTATCTGCGAAGCCCAGCTGAAGAGTGTTTTTGGCGAAATATATACCGCTCTGACAATCAAGCGAGAAACACGCTCACGCCAGCCAGATGGATCAAGTTGCGGTGTCATGTTTTTCGAGTGTTTCCTTAGCGGAACTGCACTACCAGCCAAACCAACCTTACCGCTCATGTGCTTTTTAAGGCTTCGCTACACGCTGAAATGTCTGTCATAACTAGGTTTAGTTGTGCTAAATGAATTCATGCTCTGTAATGCTTCACGGTCTCGTTGTGAGTATCCTCGTTAATCAACACCTGGTTCTCCGCCTTAGTGCGTCTAGCACTACCGCGTTGACGAGCTCCTTGAGCTTGTGCAACTCGTGCATGAGCCGTCGGAGCTGATTTTCTGGTCGTCCAACACCTCGTTGACCGTTGCCGATGATCTGCTCCTCTCACTCGACGTACACGACCTTACGCGATGACCCGCAGGTGGAAGAGCAGTGCGCCCTACAAGTCAATGAACGCTTCAGTCTCTGCCTCCGTGAAACGCCAAGTCTTGTGTACTTTCAAGCAACACGCCGCTCCAATGAGTCACATCCGTACAACGTGCATTATCGGCTCCGCGAGAACCTCACGATCTAATGTCTACAAACGATGAAATTTTTGAAATCGACTGCAAATAAAATACCGAATATTACCACGCCGATTTGTGATTCGGTGCCTGAGTATCTGGAGGCACTCGTACGATGTGCCCCTAATTCTCGCTTAAGTACGATCTTATCGGTATCTTTAACAACGCTCTTCTTTTTTTTTTTTTTGCAGGATTTGCTGATCATACTTGAAAATCATTTTCTTAGAATGCTTGATACTGTCACGATGGAGCGACTATTGTCGGCGATGTACGCTCGCGAACCGCATATGAAGGTGGTGGCGGCTGTGACGGGCGGTGGAGTCTCCGTTGCCGAGAGCCTTTTCCGACCTGGTAGTTCCTCCACCATGTTGCACTTCGCTGTCCCCTACTCGCGCGCGAGCCTGCAATCGTTCTTAAGTTCAGTGCCTTCGACGTCCTCCAAGCTCAAGTTCTGCTCGGCGGATACATCAGAGCGCATGGCGTTGGCTGCGTGGAAAAAGGCGAACGATATTACCAGGAATGAGGCCGAGGAGGACGATACACAGGCTGCAGCGGCGCTGCCAAGTGCTCTGATGCGATTCCGCGCATCTTTGGGTATCGCTTGCACGGCGGGACTGGCGACCAATTACCCCAAAAAGGGCCCACACGAGTGCTTCTTGTCAGTGTGCCAGGCTCGCTCGGTGTCTAAGAGTACAGCGTTCCTGCAGCCGAAGTGTGAAACTTATCACCTCCAGCTGGACAAAACGCTGGGTCGCTCGAGGACGGAGGAAGATCATATCGTGAGTCGCTGGCTCGTGTATCTCCTCGCCAAGGCTGCTGACGTGGACTCCGAGGCTTGTTCTGCTTTCCACGATGAATTGATGTCAGCGCACACTGGAAGTGATGCTATCGTGAAGTTGACTTCTGATGAAGAAGATAGCAGTGCAAACAACCCGTTGCATGATATCTGCATCGGCAAATCGGATCAACTCATGAGCGTTGCGTTCTTGCCTGAGGGGCCGACAGAAAGCGCTAGTGGTGCTGGTTCGACGGTTGCTGCACGAGGTTTTGACTTTCGCGGACTTATCTTGCCAGGATCCTTCAATCCGCTTCACAAGGGTCATGTGGATCTGGCACGTGTTGCTCAGCAACTGGTGAAGGATCGAACTGGGGTGGAGCTGCCTGTGGCATTTGAGCTTGCAGTTGCTAACGCAGACAAAGGCGCGATCGAGTCGTCAACCATCTCGTCTCGAGTCGCTCAGTTTGCTGATGGCAATGCTTCAGGACTCGGCGCATGGCCCCTACTGGTCACGAACGCCACGCTTTTCGGCCAGAAAGCGGAGCTGCTGCCCGGTTGCGCTTTCGTTATTGGCGCTGACACGGCAGTTCGCATCGTGGACAAGAAGTACTACGACATGGACGAGCACAAGATGGTGTTGGCGCTGGATCGCATCGCCCGCAGTGATTGCTCCTTCGTGGTGGCGGGTCGCTTCGACAACAAAGTGGAGAACCGCTTCATCAGTGCGGACGAGGTACTAGACGAGCATGTGCCGCCTGTATTCCGCCATCTCTTCATACCCCTGCCTGAGTCTGCCTTCCGCAATGACATCTCTTCAACTGAGATCCGCCAGCAGATGGCTACAGAGTAAAAACCGTATCATTCATTGGTCAAAATAATCAAAATGTCGACCAATTTTACACCAATTGGGATCAACATAATGCATTAGCTTCCTCCCCCTTTCAGATACGGCAAAGATCACACCTAACAGCACCCGAGAAGCACCATGTCGAGACGATACGACGGCCGCACGACTACCTTCTCCCCAGAAGGTGCGTTTGAATTTACCTGCTAGCTGCCTGCTGCTCCATTATCTGGCATAACTATGCTCTGGTTGCTAATATGGTGTTCGTGACGGTGGTTGTTTGACTGCGGATCAGGCCGACTCTTCCAGGTGGAGTACGCCATGGAGGCTATCAACAACGCCGGGTCGGCCGTCGGAATTCTTGCCAAGGATGGCATTGTGATTGCAGGTTGGTGCTGCTTGCTGTGCCTATCGTTTGAATAATGTTGACAGAGTTACGCGATCTTTGTTATCACAGCGGAGAAGAAGACGGTGTCCAAGCTGCTAACCCCCAGCAAGACCAGTGAAAAGACTATCAAGCTGGACGACCACCTGATCTGCGCTGTAGCTGGTCTGACCGCCGATGCCAACATCCTAGTGAACTACGCGCGTCTGTCGGCGCAGCGCTACGAGCTGGCGTACCAGGAGAAGGAGCCGTGCGAGCAGCTCGTGCAGACCATTTGCAACTACAAGCAGGCGTACACGCAGTTCGGTGGCCAGCGTCCCTTCGGCGTATCCTTCCTGTACGCTGGCTGGGACCGCCACCATGGTTTCCAGCTGTACCACAGTGACCCCAGCGGAAACTACGGCGGCTGGAAGGCCACCGCCATTGGTGCCAACAACCGTGCAGCCAAGAGCATGCTCAAGAGCGACTACGAGGAAGGCATGACGGTGGAAGATGCGCTGGCTTTCTCGGTCAAGGTTATGAACAAGACCATGGACTCTACCTCCCCCAGTGCAGAGAAGCTTGAGTTCACGACGGTCACGCGGAACCCTGACGGCAAGATCGTGCACCGTCAACTCACCGAGAAGGAGACGGAAGAGCTACTGCAGAAGGCGGCTGCGGACACGGCCTCCTCGGGCGACATGTAATCCAAAGTACTGGTGATAAGTGGGCACAGTGTCATAGCTTTCGACGTTCAGCAGACAAGTCTACGGCGTTAGTGCTCTTACCAACTAATGAAAAGACCAAAAAAGGGTTCCATTAGTTTCACCTAACTAACTGCCGCCTGCGATACCCGTAGATGCTTTGTCCATGGCATCAGCTGTCGCCCCGGAGGCTTTAGCTGCGACCTTGTCTATTCCGTCTTCTGCCTGGCTTCCAATCCGTGCCGCACAACTGGACAAGTCAGTCCCACAAATCATGAACGTCACGATAAGCGCAAGTACAGCCAAGGCCAAGGTGACGTAGATCCAGTACTTGACGTTCATCCACCAAAACGCATTCTTGAGCTTCTTTGCCGATTTTTCATACTTCATTGCATCCTGCTGTAGTTTATTCGTTCTCGTGACCAGCAGCTCGATCTTTTCTCCTCGTTCCATCAACTGGAAAAAAAATAACGTTAGTTTCATTCGCATCATCACTTTGCAAGCGTTCCGTTCCGTCGCGTTGCGTATGTAGTCCCAGCATTTAGAGTATACCTGGTTGACGTTGTCTATCATGAGAGTCTTAACACGCTCCATCTTCTGCCGAACCATCGACATTGGCGTCTCCAATTTGTAGTTATCGTATTTCTTCATGAGCGAGTCGAGCGTCGGGTTAAAGGAGGTCATGGCATACGCCAGTGCTGTCTGCGCCTGCTGCTTGTACTTGGCCAGGAACATGGTCTGCATTTCCGCCAGCATCATGAACGCCACATTCGCGTGCACACGCTCCTCTGCCATACACATGTACGTGATTCCATCATCGTACAGGAAAAAGAAATTGAACTCGTTGTACGGGAACACACTCTTGGAGGCCGGAGCCGATGCGCTGGGCTCGTGCTGCGCCAGATTCTTAAGCACAGCACGTGTGACTGTGGGGAAGTTGCCGCTCTGATCTGTGTGCTCGCACAGCACGTTCTGCTGACGAGCCACAAGCGTGTACACGATGGACATGCTGCCCAGTTATGGCGAGCCGGCTGGTCCTTGAAGTCGCATTGATGACCTTTCGAAGATCCAAAACGTATCCATTTTTATTTTTGTCCAATCATATGATTCTATGTGACTGTTCATGGTTAAAATCGCGATAACATGAGGAGACCGAGTCTCGGCGTGGTGGCGCGGCTGCTTGTGCTGGCTGCACTTTCAATCATGGTATGGTGGCCAGGTACCGTAGCCCAAAGTGGTGGCGTTGTGACAGCTAAGGTGCCGGGGGAATTAGAGCAATCTGTGCCGAACACAGCCAGTGTTGATGCCGAGACCGATGACTGCAGCTCGTTGAGCGGACCATTCTGCGCACATACAGGCTCCTTGACGTTTTACGCGGCCTACATGACGCCCATCTCCGCCCTGGACTTGCAGCAAAAAGGAAACGAAGTGTCTCGACACAGCGCGAAGACTGACGAGGGCGCAACCAAGCGACCGGTGAAGAAGTGCTTCTTTCAACACTTCACCAGCAGCTGGATGGACAGTGGTGGCGACGCCTACGACCTCATGAACCAGCAAGTAACGGGCGTGGACGATTGCGAACAGCTTTGCTGCGAGCATGCTGAGTGTCAGTCATTCACGTTCTGGCGCGGTCGCACCTGCTTCCTACGCGCCTCAAGCAACACTCCGCGACCGAACGGCGACTCATTCTCCGGCGTACGATTGACCTAACGCTAAATGCTACAAGTAAAATTTTGTCCCCATTTTCCGATTTTGTTTTGTTAATGTGGTGAGTGCGGAATCAGGTTGACGTTGAAGTTTGCAGGAGTGATTGTCATTCAAGAATCTACCGCCATGGACACAGGATGCGGACAAGAAGCAGTGGCGTTGACAATGATGGAAAGTGCGCGGAACATCAGTACTCGAGAAGATGTGAGTACGTTATCCTCTCTTTGGGTTTTTAATTGTGTGCTCATTGGCACTGTTCGGTAGATTTTGCGACGTATTGAGGCGCTGGCTGCAGAGTTTTTAGAGATTTTATCGGTGCGGAGTAGAGTAGCCTAACGAATAAGTATGTGCTACCACGACTGACGTTTTTGTGGTACAGACTGGAAAAGTGTTGGAGCTGGAGGCGGTAGGTACCAAGTGCTGCAGTTGAGTAGATCTGTATTGACTAGATATGAAGTTGAAGCGCGATTCGTCAGCGATGATTTACGATCACGAGAATCAACGGCAGCTTCACGGGAATGACACGCGGTTGATCAAACTGGTAGTATAAAAATCCAAGTGGGTCTTGATCTAATCTATTCAAACTAATGGAAAATGAGTCCAGAACCGACAGGGTGGCAGGAAATACACAGGGATTTGGCTGATCTTGCAGACAGCGCATGCTCTATTGACAGAAAACAAAACAGCAACTCAGGTCCCTACTGGTTGCCACGGCGCTTTCGGCTGCCGTTCTAGGTTTCACAGTTTTTTTTTATTGCAGAGAGACGTTTATTACCTGCATCCTTTCTTTAAAGGGCAGGGCGAAGCTGACGAAGCTATCCTCGGTTGATATTCCAGCGCTGTAAACGACCGTGCTTACTTATCAGTTCTCATTCTTTGGTTGTTGTTGTTGCTACTGATAGACGCCGGAAGTATCCTGGGTATTCCAAGAGACTCCATGAACATTGTTGCTGCAACTAAAGGCTGCTTCACTGGGGACATTAGCGTTCTGGTGTCTTTGTGTTTCGCGATGGCATCACACAGGCATGACACACATTTTGACATTTTTTGTTTGTTTGATTTTTTTGGAAAGCGAGATGGAAAGTGGAGGCATTTTGGGAGTGGGGAAGAGGTCTCTATTACTCATGAACTTCTGCAGTTGAAGCCACAAGAAATGTATATCATTCATTTCGCTCTAACAAGTAAACCGATTCTATCGCAAGCGATAACACTGAATTGTGTCTGTAATGTCCAGGAAAAGCAATGCCACGTGTATCCTCGTGATTGAGAAAGACGGTAAGCGAAAGCGAGGTTGCATGTTTGACTAGCTTGGTGATTCATTTGTTCGTTCTGTAGGGATTTTCAACCGCCTGAGGTTATACGGAACGCAGGTTTTGCATTTATCCTGACTGGTTGATAACATGTTATCTTTTCAGAGAAGACAAGTTTTTCGAAATAGTTCCAAGCATTTTGATCACTGGTCGGGGTTTTCCGGATCTGGCTACGAGGTATATTTTGCTTAGAAGACACGATGATAGATATAGTGTACTGATCCGGTTGTCTTGGCCTGATGCAATTAGAGTATTCGTGAGCCTGTTGAGAAACGCACTAGAAATTCCAGTTCTTGGACTCTGTGATTGCAACCCATTTGGCCTCTCCATTATGGTGAGACCAAATTTCTACAACAAATAATGACTTGGGTTTCTAAGGATACATTCGGCAGCTCACATACAAGCTTGGATCAGCACGAATGCCGCTGGAATCACTTCAATACGGTAAACTCGGGTTAACTGCGCGTTCACTGCTTTTCTTGCTGAGCTTATCACGCATTACTCTGTGATCAGCCGTCGACATCAAGTGGGTTGGCGTTCGACCATCTCAAATCGCGGACTTGGACTTGCCGATCTCATCTTTTAAAGCTCTCACTCGAAAAGACCTGGCAGTGGCCGATTCCTTGTTTCGATCAAGCTTCATTCAGGTGCGAGGCAACTGCAGTAGGCATGTTATAAATCCTCAGCTAATATTTTGCGGTGACGCAGGCGAACGACCACTTCAAGGATGAAGTTCAAATGTGGCTTGGCGACGCGCTACCTTGGAAAATCGAGCTTGAAGCTCTTCATGTTTTAGGATTTACGTTCTTGACCTCCTTTCTCCAGGCATGTATTGAGAAGGGCAATTATCTATAAGTCCTCAAAATGCCAGACGTATTTTGAGCTCGCATTATCGGATGCGTTATAGGGGCACGCCAAGATTGAGCGCGCTGCTGGCAAAATCCACAAACACCACTCGAAGCCAGAAGTACATCATTACAGCTAGCAGAATGGAAATCGGAAGCGCTGGAAGTGCTTTCTGATAAATCCCGAGAAGAAATAGCGTACCTCCAAGACCCTACCAAAAATCAATGCAGAAACGTGTGAGCTATCGAAAACCGTTGTTCTGGGACCAAAGAGGCACGCACCATCAGGACTGATACCAAGCATCCGATCATCGCCGAGAAGTCGTATTTGGCTGCTCGAGACACTAAAACGCTGTAGAAGACAAAATCTCCCAGTCCAAGCTTGATCGTTTCATCCACCTCTGGCGTTTGTGAAAATCGTCAGCAAAAAAAGCAAAACTCGAGGTAACAAGTCAACGCATAACCATACCTCCTTGATCGGTGACATATTTCTGGTACAGATCGTGCCATAATTCGGTTTCTCGTCCGTGATATCGTTCCAAGATCTTGTCGACACGGGATATTGCCGATGGGTTGTGCTTCGAGTAGAATTCGATCAGTCGAGCGCGCAGTTGAACCTGACAAGGGGTCAAAGAAGTGTGGGTAGAAGACGTTGGACCTTCCGGTACGTCGCGTGGCGACCCAAGTCGAAGAGGAATTTCTGACTCGCATTGATAGTACACGTTTTCGCGCACCGGCTGAGCAGTATGACCCGAGTGATTGCGACGAATTTCTGCTTCGTAGAGCAAACCTAACGACAGCGAAATTAAAGCTGAGTCAGAATAAGTAGAAGAAAGCAAGATCTAGTTTCTCACAAACGTACCAGGAAGGGGGCGCCCCTCTTGTTGCACGAGATTCACAAGCCATTTCAGCGGCCCACACGGCGTCAGCACCGCGCACAAGTCATAAAACGCAAGCACAATCACCAGTGCCCAGGTGCTCCACTCTGGAAATTGCCCTAGCTGCCACGCCATGATGACGGATGTAGCGACCAAGTACGTCTGTGTCAGCCACATGGGGGTTCCCTTCTGGTAGAAAATTGACAGCACTCCAACAACCGAAAAGTTGTACATGGCAAAGAGCAGCGTGAAGACATCGATGGGGATCTCGAACTTGGCGATGACGATAACTAGCATGTTGCCTCCCAGCATTCCCAGCAGCATAGCTGACGAAAACATCATGTATCCAATCAGGATCTGTAGCAATTACGCAGCAACATCAGAGTATCGTTCACAATGCCATGCTTTGCAAAAGTATCTTAGCCGCACCCTGTTGAAGTTGAACTTGTAGCAGCAGACAATCACGAACGTCGCCACGAGGAAAAACGACACGATGGCCAATGCATTTACCAGAGCATCCGTCATTTTTGTTCCAGTAGATGCACCTTTGTCCTGATCGGGCCCATAGATCAAGTAAGCTCTGCAGCATCACGTTCACAACGTTCAGTCTCACAACTTATTCCACATTGGTTGATGGTTCCGTACTCTGCGAGCGCCTTAGCCGACGCAGGATCTTCCACATTAAGCGACACAAAACTGCAACAGCGTATCAATTGAAATTTACGTCAGTGGCGCTGTGTATTGACTGCAAAAGAGCTTGATGAGCTCGTGGGCACCTGGCGAGCAACATTGTGACGGCAACTGGCCACACCACAGCGGAGAAGGAGCCGATCGAGTGCAGAAGCTCCTCGTGTGTGAAGGCGTCTTCACCGTCATAGTCCTGCGATGTTTGGCGTGGTCGAGCAGGAAGCAGACGCTCGCGCACGTCGCCGTCACCGAAGGACTCCACGCCCGACATGGCAGTCTACAAATAGGCTTGGGGAAGATCAGTTCCTAGCTAATAGAATACATGACATTAGAGAGTTTTGAAGTGTGAAACGACGCGAAGTACGTGGCAGTCAAAAATGGCCAGCGTGCCACTCAAATGCGAGCTTGTGACCGGGAAACATTGTCTAGCGTGGAAATGGACGAAAGTGACCAATTGGATGCTTGAAGATGGAGTGGAGATTGCAGAAATGGCGAGTGGAAGAGACTTCGTGGTGTACTTGACCTCTTCCGGCCAATTGTTGTACTGTGGAATGATGCCCCGACCCATTTCGTATGAGAAGTTTCGACTGCACCAAGATCGACGGCGTGGTCGTGCTCATCCGGTTGGAACCGAGTTGAAACGGCTGACGAAGCGTGATCGAGCAGTGTATAAAGGTCACTCTTGTGACTCGAGGTGTTGCCCGGTTGAGCTGTCATTGTCGACTAAAACTCGAGTCCTGCAGGTTGCGTGCGGAGTTACGCACTGTCACGCGCTCGGTGAGGTTAATACGGCGGATGGATTAATACGTAAATTATTTTCTTGGGGGCTTGGAGAATATGGACAGCTAGGTCTTGGAGAATGTCGAGTTTCATCACTAATGACGCCGATATCAGTATCTACGGAGTTTGATGAACTGGTGCAAGCCACGGATGCGGGTCATCCTATAGTCTTGCGCTGTGGTGCATTTTCAACCTACTTGCTCAGTAAAGGATCATCTATACTTTGGCACTGGGGGTTACTGCCGTCTTCCAATGATTCAAGTTATGTGCGTCAGGGTGTACCAGTGAGATTTCCATTGCTAGATGAAAACACTCGTCTGGTTGATGTAGCTGCAGGGGTCGATCACGTTGTTTTTTTGTCCGAAGATGGCTGTGTTTTCTCGTGGGGCTATGGCAGCTCTGGACAGCTTGGTCTTGGTCCGTCGATTACTTCAAACGTGGACAGCCAACCTACTCCAGTTGATTTTTTTCACCAAAAAGACAACCACAACATTACCTCGATCTCGTGTGGTTGGAATCACAACATAGCAATTTCAAGAAACGGTGATGTTTATGCATGGGGAAGTAATACCAATGGGGCGTGTGGTGCCAAGAGCAAGTTTTGTGAATATTTTCATCCCGTACTCGTAGCGGTACCTCGTCCTGTTGAGCTTGGGTTGGTTGCATCTAATCAAAATGCACAAATTCGTTGCGGAGGAAACTCATCCGCGCTGTTTCTTCGACATGTCAGTAAATATGCAGGTATTAAGTGGGCGTTCATATGGGGCGTTAATGCTCTGGATGTCGGCATACTTTTGCCAATTGAGGTAGTTTCGAGCCAAAATAGTTTTGCAGATTGCTGTATGCGGTTGGAAAGCTTAACGTGGCTGGTTCGTTTAAACTTAAAAGAAGTGGCACCTGCTTGGATTATGAAAGAAATTGGTGGAAATGCAGAGTCTCGTCAAAGGCTCGAAAAGGGGATCCCATGTTTGAATGTCAATGCTGACACTCAAATTTGTATCAAAGTTCAAGCAATAAGCAAAATCGCGGTAGATGCCATCACCGCCTTACCGGAAAACTGTGTTGAAAACAGCTTATTTCAGATAACGTCGGAGCACGACCCAGTTGCCACTTGGAGTGATACAGTGAAAGAAGTCTCAATTTCTTCAGTGACGCAAACGGCACCAGGCGATCAAAGTGCAATGCATGCTTCAATCGAGATAATTATCACAGCTCAAGCTAAAGGCAGAGCTATTCTTTCGCTTACAAGCTCAATCGGAGAAGTCATCGGAAACACGTTTGCAGTAGATATTGCACCCCAAAACGCAAGCGAGGCTACGACCCTTGAAGCTGCGTATGGAAGCCTAGACAACCATATCCGCATCTTAGGTGTACACATTGAAGGAACCGAGGCTGAAACTCAAGAACGGGTCGATGCAAAATGGTACAGATTACTCGCCAAACGTATTCGAGTGTACACAGACGATTCTGTAATAGTTCTGATCGAGACAATAACAAATGACATGAATCCAGCCGTTCAAGTGGAACACCGCGACAATCACTGGCAGTATGACTTAAAGTACCTTGACGTCGTTGGTAGCGATGACAAGTTTAGACTGAAGAATCTAAGCGTGGTGCAATTACGATTTTCATCGCCTGGACAATATTTTATTTACGAAACGAAAACTCACGAAGATGAACATTACCATCGTACTCCATTGTTGATAGTAAACTGCTGTATGACTAGTCAGGAAAGAACACGAATTCTGAGAGAGAATCACGATCTGGTTTGGTCGAAGTATCAGTCTGCTCAAGTGAAGCAACTCCCTGTCCAGTTCTCAAGCTTTTTGTCATTAATACTGCAACAGTCGGCACTCAGAGACTCTGTGGTTTGCTCTCCGTGGATAATTACGCATGATGAGGCATGCTGCGAGTCTTCGTTTGATTTTGATCGCGAGGTTAGAGCCCAATACGTGCTCATGAATCATCCTGAACGTCCATTTATTCTGTGGGATGAAGTTTTGACTGCCACTTGTACATTAGACTCTTTACAGCAGTATACTAAAGGTGCAGACTCGTCGACACTCAACTCAATCCTTCCGAATTGGGCTCAATTGCTGTCATCTAAAGTATCGTTTCGAATCGCAACCTGGTTGGGAAAGCCAAACGCTTGGTCGACCAAAAGTCTTGATGAGGTACCGATTGACTACAAGGGGGTCCGTTCAAAAGGTGCTTCTTCAACTGCATCGGTGCAACAAATTCCCTTTGACTTTCTTGGAAATGAGTCCCTTGTACATCAACCCGCAATTAGAATTGCATTGATGCCTGCCAATCCAAACATTATGGGAGTCCATGACTCGATCGTATCATGGAAGCGAATGAACGGTGATCTATTCTATACTGTTCAATCAAATGACTTACGGGTCCAACGCTATGGACATGAAAGTCACGACTTCCCGGAGACTGCTCAAAGTGGCCGAATCACACGACTAAAGACTCAGCTAAGCGATTTCCTATGGCAAGCAGCGGAAGGTAAAAGACTCGAGGACCTCTTTTTCCTTCTAACTAGTCCGACCAATCAAGAGTTGGCAGTGTCCGAGGATCACAAAAGTTTGTGTATTCACGGGGTTATTCAACTGCGTGAATTGATTTTCCACACGACAGCTTTGGGTTTCAATAATGGTGTCGCGATACCCAAACAAGAATGGTTTGCGCTATTTCGTGCAATTCAAGCACTTTCGCAACCTCACAACGATGGCATCACATTCAACACGTTTCGCATATTTCTTATAGATCCGGTGCATCAGGTAAATCATGCTGTAGAGCGTAAAAGTGGCCACTCATATTTAATCTCTTACCTTATACTTGCTTTGAGTTCAGTTCTTTTGGAAGCAGTACGTTCACCGGATTCGGGAGCGAGCAAATTCAAACCGTGCAACGATAACCCAAGCGCTGTCCGATGGGTTTCAGATAAATGACAGAGTCACTAGTGAACGCACCGACTCCAGTGATGAATCTCTGATAATCTCGTGGTCGGGATTTGTAGAAGGCGTGAAAAGCTTTCATAGCATGCTAGGACTCGAGCCACTGTCACCTTCCGACTGTTGTAGACTCCTCTATCGATTCGACGCCCGTGGGAATGGGCAAATCTCCATCCAGACCTACCAGAACACTATGTTGCGTACACTTGGCGAAATTGATGCAGCTACCCTGGCATACGACTTCACTAAGACCCAGCGAACCAAAGCATCGAAGGGGAAGCAACCACTGAAAGTTGCGATAGCTAACGGTCATCGACGACCCAACGTGGAGTTGTTCACGTCCAGCGAAGCTGTGCACAAATTATTTGCTGCACGAGCAAAAACCGCAACGAATCCTCGGTTTCGATCATCGTCGAATGCTACATTTCAGACTTACCACACTATCACTAATGACGTCGCAGCAAAACTTCGTGCGTCGGCTAACACCCACTTGGCTCGTATTCGAAACCTGCCAATATCGCACCTCTTAAGGTAAGAAATTAGGTTATTCGAAGTGAAACATGATAATAAGTGGCTGAGATCTTGTGTGATGCAGGGAAGGAATACACTTCCGGCCACCGCGAGAAACCATGTATCGATGCGAAGATGATACTCAGGCAGAGGCAATGGATGCTGAAGAATCATATTGATCGCTGTAGGACTCGCATTTTGTAGCTTAATCACGTTAATTACAGTCGCGCAGCAGCTTCCTTCTTGTTTCCAAGCAGGCGGAGTCGACTGATGCCTCCATCTGGGAACATCTCGAGCTTGACGTAGTTGACTCCAGTAGGAATGAGGTTCACGTTGCCATCTGCAACGGAGAAGTACTGCTGCTTGTGGGCTTGTAGCTTCACACGAGGCAGCACAACTTCCCACTTAACAGCTCCATCTTTCAGTAGTTTATCCTCGTTACCATGGAATCGAGTACCGTAAACCACACAACTCTCAGGGAAATTGCCCTTGAAATGGTTCGTGTCCACTTCAACTTGCTGAATCACTCCCAGATGCCCAAGCTTAAGCACCACCCAGTCCTTACCGGGCACTTCCAGTAGTCCAGTTTCAGCGTCTGCCTTCAGGATAGGAGGGCGTGTGGCCTTGCGCGCAGTCTCCCAGCCATCGGCCATCGTCTTGCTGCGTCCTGGAGCCATCAAATTGCGTGGGTGGCCGTAATGAGCATCATTAAAGCCAACAACCTTCCCTCCGTGCGCAACACTCACAAGATCCAGCAGCTTGGAGCTCAGCACGCGCGTCCAGTCCATCTCCACATCTCCGTACACGCGCAGACGTGCGATTCCTCCATCTGGGAACATATTGACCCGAAGGTGAGTCCACGGACCTCTCTTGGACGGCGGTACTTGGAGTAGATTGTGGCGGGTTTCCGCATATCCAGGTCCGAGCTTAGTGGGAGGTACAATCTCCATCCAATTGTCGGACTGGAGTTGCTCTACCAGCTTGAACTCTTCCGGTGTGGCACACACGCCCATGGCACGGTCGTCCGTGGCTTTTGCTGTGAGGATCTTTAGTGCATTATTGTTCTGGGAGAAGTCAGCGGCCTGGATGGACACGCGCGGCGCGTTGTTCCCCGTAAAGAAGGCAGTGTCAACGTCCACGACGTCTACGGCTCCACGCAGACCGAGCGCCAGAATGCACCAGTCATGGCCGGTGATACGCTTGCGTCGCGTCTCCCACCCGTCCATCCATTTACCGAAGCTAGTGAACTTGTCAGCGATGAAGACGGGAGGCTCAGGAAGCAGCAAACGACTTGCTGGTGCGAACCACTCGTCGGTGGCGAACAGTATGCGCGACCCGTAGGCGGCGCTTGCCAAGTCAGTCATGGTCTCTACTTCGTTAGCTGTTGAGGGCGCCATGGTGGGGAGCAGTGTGCTTGGCAACGAAGATCGATGAATGAGGGGCGGGAGTGGTGACCTGCAACAGCCGACGGGTGGTATCATTTCGCATTCAGATCTGCTGACGCACATTGGAGATGGGTACACTGACAACAACGACGTGGCACTAAGTTGGTGTCATTGCTAGTCTCAACACACATTCACACGTGCGTACGCACTGCGTCGCGCAAAACTAATCGCTACCTAGCGCATTTCGAGCTAGCAAAATATAAAGCGTTTATTGTTGTTAGTTTGACGGAGGCACTAGCGTTTGCAACACTCCTAGAACTTCGCTTTTTCTACTGACGTAGCTACCTAATGCAATGCGAGCACTTCACTCTCCCTGATGAATACATATATTCATGTCAGCAGAATGACCAATGTACTCGCCCCTCTCAGCTCTGAGCAAGCTTCTCGAAAGGCAAGCGAGCTATTATAGCGAGCACCCAAGAGATCAACACAATCGCTGGTGAAAGCACACTTGCCGGCTGGAGATAATAACGACGTCGTTGCAATGGTAAACCGTCGCTATTTATTGCGGCGTTGACGCTACGCTACAGGTATCTCTCAAGCGCAAAAGAACTGCAACCGGTATCAAACGCGATCGCCAAATATACAAATCTGGTGTTGCAGGTCGATCACCGGGGTAGAGAGTTACCCTTCTCTTGCTCCTCCTAAGTCGGCTCGCTTCAACTTGCATCGCGATCCTGGCATAGAGAGGCGCGAGGATCTGAGATTTAGTATGAGAGTTTGTATGCCTCTCTTGCGCGGGAAAACCCTTGTCGTCGTGAAAAGGCGCCAAATCAACCGAGCTTGCATCACGGTTGCCACGATCAAACTCTCGACCCTAGAGACGCTCCTACGCCATGCACGCGACGGTGCCGACGCCAGCCAGGTCGCATCAACCAACCAGCACACTTCCCAGCTGCCAGGTGCTCTAGAAAACGTGTGCAAAACTAAGAGCCTGTCCAACAGCATATCACACTATAAGGCAGGTTTGTCACCGAAAAACCTCATCATTCGAAAAACCTCGTGAGAAAACCGCGAATTGCGCCCCTCCCTTTTTTTCTCTTGGCGCTCAAACCGACACAGAGCAGCAGCCAGAGCAGCCGCAGGCGATGGAGATCACGGACGGCGCTGTCGCCGCCAGGCGGCCGCTCAAGGACACACCCCGCCACCAACTCACACGAGGCCTCATGCGCACACTGAACGTTATCAACGTGGTGCGTGGGGTGCCGTTTAAACGCTGCGTTCAGCATCGATAACGTGAAATACCTGACCACTCTCTGTTGCAGAACTACTACCGGAAACACAACCCCAAACCCACAGGTGTGCTGGCCAAGAAGAAGAAGAAGGTGCCTGCCAACTACGTCTTCTCCGAGACTGGCGAGGAGACGTTCAACAATGGCCGCTACTTAGTGCGCGGGCGGAAACTTGGCGCGGTACGAAGCTTTATATCTCGATATTTAGGGAGCTACAGACACTCAGGAAACTGACGATTTAATGTTTACTGCAGGGCTCATTCGGTCAGGTTGTAGAGGCTCAAGACCTCGTGAACAAGCAGGTTGTAGCGATCAAGGTTGTACAGAAGAAACAGCAGTACACAGAACAGGCCCAGACCGAGATCAGCATCCTGCAGCTGCTCCATTTGCCACAGCAACACGACGCCACCAATCACATCGGTAGGTATTTTCTTCATGCTTCTCCTGGTCGTGGCAGAGCAAGCATGCGCTGGTTTCGGGATCTATTCTCGGACCAAAACGACCCAAAAGTCACGATTTGCTAACCGTTGTGTTGATGGCTTCTTTGTTTCTTCCCGCAGTGAGGCTGACGGATGCGTTCATGCACCAAGGACATCAGTGTTTGGTGTTTGAGCGGCTGGGCCCGAACCTTTTTGATGTTCTAAGAGGGACCAATTTCCACGGTATCAGTTTGAAGCTACTGAGGAAGTTCACGAGACAGATTCTCAAGGCACTCGAGTACATGCGGCACCCCAATGTTAACGTGATTCACTGCGACTTGAAGCCGGAGAATATCCTGCTGGTTTCACACGGCCATAGCTCCTTGAAGCTCATCGACTTTGGCAGCTCGTGTCTTTCGCGCAACCAGGTGCGTTATTGGTCAGTTTCAAACATTTATATTATTTATTTTTGCTGATAATTGCTTTTGTTTGGTATCTACAGATTCACCGCTATACGCAGAGCCGCTTCTATCGCGCTCCGGAGGTGTTACTGGGTATGCGATACACTGCTGCTATTGATATGTGGAGTCTTGGCTGCATTTTAGTGGAGATGCACACGGGTAAACCTCTATTCTGCGGTTACGACTCGGCGGATCAACTGCATCGAATAATCAACGTGTTGGGCATGCCGCCACGGGATCTGATCGCACGTGCTAATCCCAGTTATCGACGAGAATACTTTGATGAGATTGTGATGAGCGAAGGCAACAACAAGTGGATCGACTATCGTCTGAAGGTGCACAAGGTAGTCCCACCCAAGGGAGTAGATGTGGTGAGTGGACTCATATGCTGCAGTTCTTGGTATTTTTTTTTACTAATTTAATTGTTGCTTGTTTCTATTTGTATAGATTCCTGAGACTACAAAGACACTAGCAGAAATCCTCGCCAGTGCCAACAAATACGGCACTCTGAACCACAGCCCAGAGCAGTATCCTGCGTTCCACGACCTCGTCATGCGCATGCTGGACTTCAAGTACGTTCTGGAACGGAATTTGTATTTGAGTGAACAGAACTAACTCGTTTTCTGCAGCCCGGACACGCGGATTACACCGACCGAAGCAATGCAACACCCGTTCTTGATGGGTATGCGCCAAATGCAGCCAAACGAAACGATGGAGGAGCCCATAGCACAGGGAAAGTTCAAGTACATGCGAGCTTCCACCATGCGCGATGTACACGGACGCAACGCCGAGACACAAATGCCTCCGCTCAACCGGGCGAAGCAACGCCGATTTCTCGACAAGTCACCGCACGAGCGATGATCGGTTGCTGTGCTGTATACACAAACGCTGGAAGGCAGGAGCACGCCACGCTTCCTTGATTGGATTGGTGTTTCAACGACTTCGCTGGCAAAGAGGCACCCTGATCTCCAGTGCTTCCCGAAGACGCTGTTAATGCTGGGATGAAGCGACTGTCATGCGTCAACCCCGCCTGATCTGTCGCCGAGACATTCACGGTCGGTGTCATCTCAAAAGCACCCACCACCTTGACAATAGCCGATCCTGGTGCGCAGGAAATACGCAAGTGAAGTCTCATGCTCTCCGGATGAAGGAGAAAACGAGCGTGGAATGCGTGCGCTACGAGACCCCAATGGATTGATTGGACAAATGCGTTTAGCTACTAAAAAGTAAATTCAACGAAGTGAAACTGAAATCGTTGAAACTTGCACAGATGAAACCTGTATTCATACACACCACGCAGACAAGCAAACGAAGAAGACTTGACAGCAGTGTGATGGTGTAAAAGCTTCCGACTGAAAGCCTCGGTGCCCAATGGACAGCGATACCAATAGCTTCCCTGGGAGTTCGTGTTATGATCGCGGGCGTAATTACTCTCGAACCTGTACTTGATCTCCTAGGTCACTGACTGGAACCTGCTTAGTTCTCGCCCTGGCGCTTGAGGTAGTCCAGCAGCACGTTCAGGGCGTGGGTCTCCTCACCGAAGTCCGTGATGACGGCGCACGACGTGGACACGACCTTACGGGCCTCACCCAGAGCGTCGATCTTGCACAGACCGCACCACTCGCCGAGCTGCTTGCCCGAAGGCACAAGGATGAGGTTCACGCCGTGCTCCTCGCACAGAGCGCGCACCAGCTTGCTGTAGCTGGGCTCGTCGCAGTCCTGGGCCAGGCAGCACAGACGGGCGCGACGCGAGTCCAGAGCCTTGGCGGCCTCGTGAAGGCCACGCTTGAGGCCATCATGGATGAGAGCCTTCTTAAGCACCTCCTTGAGGGCGTCCATCTCTCCCAGCTCCTTGGGCACCTCAACCTCAGCCACAACTTCCTCAGCCGACATGATTCTTGTAAACGGTGGAGTCCTCGGAAAGAAGCTTTTACGTAATGAGCATTGATTGCCGCCCAACTGGAGCTCCTCGAGGCATTTGACTGGTTCAAACGCGTCGTTCATGAATTGTGTAGGTCACACTACATGAATCCGGATAATTATCCGGTTTGGAAATCCACTTTAGTGCCACGTCACTCTTGTGTTTAACACGTACACGGCCAGTGCCGAAAATGAGAGGCTTGGGGGCAGTGGTGCGGGTGTTACGGCGTTCTGAGGCGCTGGCGCGGCACGGTGGGGCTGCAACAGCTACCCTGCAGATGCAACCGTATCGGTTTTACAGCTACCGACCGATGGATGCGCTGTACGAGGGTCAGGACTACGCTCGCCAGGTGGAAAAGAAGTTTAGCGAGCTGTCGGGCAAGACCCCGTGGGAGCCTGACATTAAGTATTTGGAAGGTATCAAGAGTCGCTGGCAGGGACCCGAGCCTACATTGAATGAGTTAGTGCGCGAGGATGTACCCACAGCTCGCAATCTCTTCCGCAACGTGCTACAGCGTTGCTATCCGAAGGATATGGGAATGTGGAACAAGTGGGGCGTCATGGTATGGACAGTCGGATGGATGAAATACAATGAGCAACCGATGATCTTAACGCTAGTTATGTTAACAACTACAGGAATGGAAGGCTGGTAACTACGGGCTGGCGCGCATGATCTTCTCCAAGGCGTCTCGGATCTCGTTCGACGCTGAGCTGTGGACATCATGGGGATCGATGGAGTTGGAAGCAAAGAACATGCAGGAAGCCAAGCGTATTTTCAAGGTTATTTTAGCCACGGATCCGCACAACCCGATGGCGGGACTGGGGATGGCTTTGTGGGAGGTTCAGGCTGGACATCCGGACGAAGCTCGCGAAAGATTCCAAGAACTGCTGGAAGAACATCCCAGGGATGTATTGATAATGCAGGCCTACGGTGTCTTTGAAGCTAAGTGCCAGCATGTCGGATTGGCGCGTAGTATCTTTCAGAACGCAGTCTCACACCCTAGAGCGACAGGTCAAGTCTGGCACGCTTGGGCCAAAGCAGAGTATGATGCTGGATTGTACAAGAACGCGCTGGCAGTCATCTCAACTGCCTTTGAGCGTTTCCCGACGCACAAGTGGCTCATTCTTCTCGGTGCTATGGCTCATTTCAAGCTTGGTGACGTTTATGAGGCACGCCGGGCGTACCGTCGACTCATTGATGGTGGGCTGTACGTGGAGCCATCAGCATACAACTCGTATGCAAAAATGGAGGAGGAACTAGGCAATGAGGATGCAGCAGTGGGGTTGTATGTAGAAGCGTTGGAGCGACACCCCGATCACATTCCCAGTATGATGTCACTTGCCGTTTTGTACAAAAGACGCGGACGTATGCGAAATGCACGCAAAATCTTCGAGAAAGCACTAGAGAATCTGCAGCATACTGGCCCAGTACTGCACGCTTTTGGAGATTTCGAGGAGCAACATGGAGAACTGGACAATGCACGGGAACTTTACGACGAGGCCACCAAGGTGCAGTCCACAGCAGTCGAGTCCTGGCGTGCCCTGGCACGTGTCGAAGCTAGATTGAAGAATTATGAGGCGGCACGGTCGGCGCTGACCATGGCCAGCCAACATGTTCCTAACGACGCACCGTTGCTCATTGAACTTGCTAAGATCGAACAGCGGAATCGTCGGTTCCCGGCAGCTCGCACGGCATTGGAGAAGGCTCTAAAGGTTGATCCGTCTGATGCCGCTGTGTGGAATATGCGTGCTTTGTTGGAGTTGCCGCTGGACGCAGCACGGGCTAAGACTATAGTTGAGAATGCGCTGTCCGTGGTTCCGGAATACGAGAAAACGAGCTGGAGCATTCTCATGTGCACCTACGGCCGTACCTTTGCAGCTTTGGGTGATTTCCAACAGGCTGTTGCAGCCTTTCAACGCTCATTTAAGCTGCGTCCGAAGAACTGGGAGACGCATTTGATCTATGCTGATAGTGTCCTGACGCCTAACGAGGCCTGGAGTGAAGCCGTGAAACATCTCACAGCTGCGCGCAAGTTACTCCCGCGAAATGATAGACGTCGCGGTAATGTGGAGCGAAAACTTCGCGCTGCTGAGGCCATGGCGAAAGCAGAGCAGTACAAACACGAACAAGACGAAGATCATGAGGAAGATGGCTCGTAATAATAGTAAGCAACAGGTTGAAATTACCATGTTCCCTTGATGCTTTCTACAAGCACTATATGCACTGGGTTAAAGCAAGTGCACTTACGTACAGGTATCGAAATTTGAAGCGTTGGGGTCAACGAACCTCTGCTGGCACCAAGTAAAAAATGCATGAGGTCAATCAGAAAAAAAAATATTACTAGTAGTATACAGTAGTAGCTGGTTGCCGTATGAGATAATTACGGTCCCGAAACAGAATTTCCCTTTCCTAGCGAAGTTAGACAACGAGTGGGTGAAGTCGGATGCTTTGACGTGAAGAACCCAGGAAGAAATTGCAGCAGGCAAAGGCCCTGTCCACGCTCTGGTGAAGGTTCCACAGCGAGAGCTCGTGAAAATGCCGACGACGCTGTGGCTATTGCAAGTCGCTCAGAAGATCATTTTCACTTTTTTGTTGCTTTTAATAATCTTCAAGGTTAAGTAATTACATTGCCCGAGTTGTGTGGCTGGAACGGGTGTCAGGTACACGGGCAGACGGCTGGTTCATTACTGCCGACGACAGTTAGTGGAGCAGTGGAATAAAATGCAACGCTGCTCAATTCACCATTGTTCACTGATGTGGATTGTTGGACTACCAGGGACAGGAAAGTCATGTACAGTTTTTGCATTCGTATTTTCAATGGATCCAGCGAGCTGGGATGTGATCTGGGTGCATTACTCTTAACGAACGAGATATTTAGTTGTGTCTGGCTCCAAGGAGAGCGCGATAAAATGACTTTATCATCGAGGAGAATCAGCTGGAAAACGTTTTGGATTCTACATCCCACACAAAGAAAACAAAAGTACTTCTGGATGGATATGTTAGATCGAAATCGTATGTGGAAGAAGCGCGATTCTTATGCAAACGATGGCATTAGCGAAACAAAGGGATACACAGACTAATTCGCGTATGTTCAAAGTCGGGTGTTCCCAATAATTATCTAGATTCTCTTTTCACCCCCCATCAAGGAGGCGAAGAAAATTTGTTTTCGTCTACGGCAGGCGAGGCGAGCAGATGGATTGGTCGAGCTGTATTTTGTCGTCTCCATGGCTAGACTCCGAACATTCAGGAGACCAGTCAGCACACAAGATTTATCAGAAGAACGTCGTCCGACACTCATCGTCTGCTCCTTGCCCAGCCATGGACACTCGAGCTAATATTGACCTAATGTTTGAGAGATGCAACGGGTTGGTGAGAGTGGTTGGGGTGAAGTATGATGTCGAACACCTCTACACCTTGCCAATCCAAGTTGGCAGTAGCGCAAGCCCCACTTTCAGGAAACCCATTTATATCCTGGCACTTCGATTTTGGAGGATGCAGAAAGCAGAGGAGCTCACTAAGTAAACAAAAAGATGAAGCTCACACAATGTTAACACTGTGCTTTCCTATTCTAGTGAAACAGATCGAAATCACCCGCACTACTTCCAATAAGGAGAGAATGTTTGGAGCTCAATAATTCTGATCACGGATTAAATTCTGCACAAATGCAACCCGCGCGTTGCTTATAGAGGTGAAAGCTGTCCTCCAGCCCACGGTTGCCTGTGGTGCGATAGGTCACAATGTGCCCATTTGCATCTTCTGAAGCCCAAAGCGATCCATCACTTGAGAAGTTACACTGAATCTTGTAGCCTTCAACTTCATGATGTCCAGAAAATCGAAGTGGAGGGCGATGTCCGCCAATGCTGGGACCTTTCCGGCGCTTGTACGGGGCACTAGTTGAATAGAGAGTCGCGTAGTTGCCGCTGCACTGCGCTACAAAGTAAGGTCTACTTGGATGCGCTCGTAAACATGTATGAGCCAGCATGTTGTCGCTAAGACGGTCGTAAAGAAGTGTTGTGGAACGTAAATCCCATACTAGCAGCGTTTGGTTACTTGCATCGTGCCGCGTAACACCAGCACTTGATACGAACCGCTGGCCATCGTCACCAAGGACACTGCAACTCGTTCACAGATGTACTATGACCAGTAAATCGATATCTCCTTTGCTTTCGCAGTGGAACCATCCTCTCGAGCTTGGATTCAGCAGTTAAGAAATTAGGGATCTTCTCGTTGTCTTCGAACAAAGGTGACGTATTACTTGAGGCGCTTCCTGCACTCACTGTCTCAATCGGCTGCGAAATCTGTACTTTGTTTGGTCCATGCCGTCGCTGCCGCTTGGCTACGTATCCGCGGAACGCAAAGTCGTTTTCTTCCCTCGTGTTTCTTTGCGCTAATGTTCGACTCTGACAACCGAGACGCTGGGCTACGAGCAACCGCCGCTTCTCTATATTATCTGCTGTTGATTTTACAGGAAAACAGTAGCGTGTTGGAGGTGAGGCTGGTGCATTGGTAGGATCGTCACAGCGCGGCGGTGAGGAAGGTGGCGACGCATACTCGAGTATCGAGTCCGTTCAGGTCTGTTAAACAGATCTTTGATGTCTTCGCCCAATCAGATATATTATCGTTAAACGTTTTGACCAATCGCCTTCCTCTGCAGATGTAGCAGCGGAACAGTTCAATCTGAGCACAGCTGATCACCGCACACGCGACGTCATGCCTTCCGACCGAAAGAATGCCGAGCCGCCGCGCGTGTACGCGGTGGGAGACTTCAGCTGGATGGAGGACGAGCGCTACGGCGGTAAGAAGTCGCTGTGGACGCGCGTAAAGGAAGATCCGCTGGTGCCGCTGGGTTGTGCGCTAACTACAGCCGTGTTACTGGGCGGCTTGGTGACATTCCAACGCGGCCAGTCCAAACTTGGCAACAAGTTCATGCAGGCACGCGTCGTGGCACAGACAGCAACCGTCGTCGCGCTGGCGGGAGGCGCTGCGATGGCTGCTGGGGAGAAGCAGGAGAAGAAGAAACAGAGCTACGAGGACCGCATGGAAATCAAGCTGAGAGACGAGTAAGGGCAGCAGAGCTAACCACACCATGAAGAAGGATTATGCCCATTTTGCTATTCAGCATCGTACACACGTTCGTTTGAGCGTGGCCGCAGAATCAGGTCATACGTATTGGGACTTCCGTTGGCTCCGATGTTGAAAGAGTTCGTGTATGTGCAGGACGAATTCTAGTCTACTTAAGGAATTCGACCATAACAAGGCAAAAGGCAAACGAAAAGTGCATTAGAAGACGATACACGCTACGTGCTACATGCACTGATTTGCGTGTTGTCTGCTTACTTGCTGCTGAGACGGTGCTCGACATATCACTCTTTCAATAAAATGGGCTACGACACTGACCTTCTCTTCTACTTTCTTGATTAGTAGTTGTCGTCGCTTCACTTGAACGTATTGAAGTCGCGAACCTCGTTCACGATCTCTAGGGCACGTTGCAGTAGCGTTCGCATCTCATCACAGTTCGAGCGCCGCGCCGCAATATCACCAGTCTCCGCCAACAACTCGTTCAGCTTGTCTTCACGGTACAAAGATGACACCAACTCGTTCTGAATGTTCTCCTTCGAGTGCCCCACCATGAAGCACATAATTGCCTTGGGCACCAAATCCAGGAAGTTTTTCCGGACAATATCGAAGTAAGACGCAAGGAGACTCTTGATAATTTCCGTCTCAATGCGTTCTCGGTCTGTTGGGTCATCCCCTTGCCGCATGCTCACAGGAACCTGAGGCAGCTTTACAACGGCAGGCTTTGAGCTAGAGGAAACATCTGCACCGCTTTTCTTGCGACCACCTCCGAAGAATGACAGGAGACCGTTGCCTTCCTGTTTCTCCTCCGCAGATCCAGCATGGCCCCCAGGAACCGCGTTCTGCTTTGGTACTTGTCCTGCGCGTCTAGGATCCTGGTTAATCATGTTGTTGCTAGGTGCTCCGGCCGATGCCATCGTCTCGCGCTGCATCTTCTCCATCAGCTGCGCCACTGCGCGACTGCCTCCAATAAAATCTGGGTGATTTGTGTTCACATAAGCCAGCTCAATCTGAATGAGGTTCTGAATCATAGCTTGCGTCGGGACCAACGAAGCTCGAAGCATGCCATTAACCACTTCCATGACACGGTCACGCAGCTCAGGGAAGCGCGTCAGCTCAATCGTCTCGCACTGCGACGTCACACGCTGTAGCTCGTCAAACACTAGATCCACACACTGCAGTCCAGGCTGCTCCAAGCGGCTAATCTGACGCTTCGCCAGCAGTTCAAACGATACTTCGGGAACGAACAGCGACTGACGCGGGCCGTTAGCATTGCGAATAGTAGTACGGATGTCCTCGTCGCTGAGTCCGTCAAACGGGTTCACTTCACGCAGCGACTTTGAGAAGATTTCGTTGAAAATGTAGTTGATACGTGCACCACCGTAGAGTTCGTCCATTTCCACAAGTTGATGGTTGCGTCCGTCCAGCGAATTCGTGAAATTGCTCGAAAAATGGGACAGCAAATTGAGCAAACAACCGCCCATTTCGGTGGGCGTCATCTGTTCCGTGGGGGAGCCCATCTCTCCGAGTTCCTGGTCAAGATCGGAGATCATACTACTGATCTTGGACTTGATTTCCGGCAGGCAGTCGCGAATGTGGTGCATGAGAATGGTATTGAGCGTCTTGGACAAGTACTGCGTCCCCATCCTCGAGGCGATGGCTCGATAAGCCGGATGGGTCTTGAAAAAGTTCTGTTCTTTGGCTAGCGAGTCGCGAATCGACAGTTGGGAGTTGATGTCCGCCTGGCTGCGGTTCACGACGCCCACGTAGCCCTTTTTGAGCGGAATAACGCGTCCCTGCAGCATGTCCATGGCGTCAGTGCCATCATCCATGAGATCCAGTTTTGTAAGCACACCAATGGTACGCTCTCCGTTAGGGTCGATCTCTCGCGCCATCTTGAGTGCATCACTGTTGGCCAGGTCTGTATTGGCCGAGGTGACGGCCAGGATAATGGAGTTGGGGTTCGATATGAACTCAGTGCACATATCACGGATTTGTTCCTCGATGTTCACGGGCTGGTCTCCGACTGGCACCTTGGTGATGCCAGGGAGATCTACGAGCGTGAGGTTGAGCACATGGGGGGAGTAGACCTTGAGATTAATACTCTTGTTGCTGATACCTTTGTTCTTGCCGGTCATACGGTCCGTCTCCTTCTCAATCTCGCGACGGATCTCGTTGAAATCAGTGAATTTCTGGCCGGGTAAGTGGAGGAACTCACCCCACTCCTCAACCGTCTCATCCGCTCCCTCAACAGGAATAGTAGCTGACGAGTTGTAGAGCTGTAGCACGAGGGGGCGACGCGTGACGATGCCCGATCCACGCGGCAAGAAATCTTTGCCTACAATGTTCTCAAGCACCGATGACTTGCCGCTACTCTGGCTGCCAATGACCACGATCTGCGGCAGGTTGATGGGCGACTGGCCGATGGCGCTGAACACATCTTGCAGCTTGTTGATAATGGGGATTAGCTGCTCCATTGCGACCTGCTAGTGCTTGTCTCTTTTAGAGAATGCGGCGGCCTTTTCCTCTCTTCCGCCTTGGATGCGGACTGCTGTATTTGGCTCGCGAGTCTGATTTATGGGAAAAAACCTCGAGAGGTTTTATTCAAATGACATTTAGTGTGCACTACATTTTAAAGAGAATAGTCACTCAAGAGAGGTTTCGAATAGTGCCCTTCAAGAACCTTCACCAGTCAAAAGCATGGACGCCACCAACGAGCTGCAGTGGCGCGGCCTGCACCTGCTGCACGTGCATCGCGATACGCTGCGCTGTGCACTGACGCGATGCATCGCCTGCTGCTACAAGATCGTGCTGCACAACCGTCCAGGACTGCTGCCTAACGTGAGGCCAGAGATGTGTCCACGCATGACACCAAAGGTCAAGAATGATGATGACCAAAAAATGTCGGCTGAAGCTGATAATTACAGTATCGGACTGTACGACGCAGCTCAAGTGAAACGCATCTTGACGGTAGGCGACGGCAATTTTTCGTACTCATTGGCACTTGCCCGTGCGCTGGGTCCAGACTCGGGTGTGCAGCTAGTGACAACGTCGCATGAGAGCAAGAAGACCGTGCTGGAGACGTACCCGGACGGAGAGAAGATTCTCGATGAGCTTAATGCAATGCCCCATGTGACGGTGCAGCACGAGGTGGACGCTACTGATGCTGAGCAGATGAAGACGCTCGGTCAGTTCGACCGCGTTATCTGGAACTTCCCGTGCGTTCGAGCGCCGCGTGGAGAGGACGGCCAGAACCAGGAGATGGAGACCAACAAGAAGCTGCTGAGCGATTTCTTCGCCCATGTGGCGCAAATTTTGACGCCTACGGGTGAAGTTCATGTGACACACAAAACCAAGAAGCCGTTCGGTCAGTGGGGTATTGAAAATATAGCCAAGACCAACAAGCTCCGTCACCAGCAGTCTGTAGTCTTTGACCGCTGTTTGTATCCCGGTTATTCAAACAAGAAGGTTCTCTCAAAGGGTTCGTTCCCGATCTGGGACTCGCTGACGTTTATCTTCGTGCCTGAAGACCGTACACACCCCGAGACACCAGAAGATGGTAAACCTGAAGACTCTGATAACATTCCGGTCGAACCTGTCACAATGGATATCCTCAAGAAGCTGTACCTGCTGCTGACACCGTCGCTTGATGATATGCTGGGCTCGAAGAAGAAGAAAAAGGGATTCAAAGGTCTTAACAGCAATCAAAAGGACGTCACCGCCAACCACAAGGGGAACAAGGACACCAGTGACCACAAGAGTAACAACACCCACAAGGGCAACAACAACAAACGAAAGCAGCCAGTGTCTGGTCATTCGAAGGGAGGGAAGCGGAAAAAAGGCCGCAGGTCATAATGGTGATAAGCTTGTGCTGTTGCCTTTCACAATACCAACAAAATAGACTGCACCACGACATTTCTCGAACTGCAGATTCGTTCTTACACGTAAAGCTCTCTCTTGGCTTTTTCACCTGCCTTCATGTCTTTGACAGGATCAGGAAGTCCTTTGTATCTTCGATATTGCTTCTGGATCCTCGTGGCCGCACGCTCCAGCGTGTGAGCTCCGATCAACACGAAGAGCCTATCGCCGCTTAGAATCTCAAGGTCGGCCTTTGGGGTCGTGATAACAATGGGCAGTTCAACTTGGTGCGACGTTCCCATTGCTTGAGTTGACATGCGATAAATACCAACGCAAATGCCCGAGTACGACGAAGCGGCAAACGAGTGGAAGACATCGGCGTACGTGCAATCCTTCTGTAATGAGCAACAACAGCAAAAAATACTATGAGCAACAAGAGATAAACATGAATATCAGCAGGTATCAGCAAAACGTACTCTAAGTGCTCGTGGAATCGAAAAGGTGTGAATCACTCCGGTACACCGAGGGCCTCCAACCAGTTGTCGAACAATCTTGTGAATGGACGGGTTAAAGTATGTCTGCACTACCATGTTTTCACACAGCTCGGGGTGTAGGATCCTCCCCGACATGTACAAAGGGAGACCGAAAATCTCTTTCTCAGACTTCTGCTCCGGTGCTTCGTGCTGTAAAATTTGATCCCACAGATTGAACACTTCCATGCCCGAGATTTCTGCTGCTATACTAACTTTTCCGCTACCATTCCCCGATATGATGTGGTGAAGCTGGTTCAGCTGGAACGACATGCCCATGAACTTTGAGTTTACTTCATTGGCAAGCTCGGTAACAGTGAAGATTTTCGAGAAATCCATCTTGAGCTCCACCAGCATCGTAGCAAAAATGGCTTCCGCATCAGCGATACTGGATTCCAACTCAGCGTCCAAGGCGGATTCGGCAATAATAGAGTTCTTTGCTCGCTTTCCAAGCACCACGACTGCAGCTGCGGCCTTGGCACCAGCACGTTGCAAATCTGAATAAACGAGAGGGCTTCCGCGTACGTAATACTGAATCAAAATATGTCATCAGCATTAGAAGCAATCATCAAACCAGCGCGTTGAGCGTACGCAGAACGTACCACATTTTTGAAGGCAGACAGCGTTCTCATCAAAATTTGTGAAGGCTTGGCGCTATCCAAAATCGTAATCGGGGGATGGTTCACAGCGTATGGACTACGAAGCGGCAGAATGAGCCATTGCAGGCTTTCCAACGAGTCCTCACCCAAAAAGCTGCAAATGACGATGTGGTTTGGGTGCAGTAGAATGTCAAGTGGCGGAGTGTGAAGAGTTTTCGATGCTTCTGAGTCTAGGGATGCATCCTTGCTGTGGAGTGCAGCGTGAAGTTGAGGATTATCGTAGGGATTACCACTTGTGATGTTTCGGTTGGAATTCTTGAAATTGAGAGCAATACTCTCGAGTGAGCGGTCCTGGATCATACAAATATAACAAAATGTTAGACTTCATAGCGTGCGTTGCAGTGTCAATAGTACTAGGCTACTGCTAGGCGCACCAGTACAAGTGACCCTGTCCTCGATGTTGCCAACTACTCAGCGTCAGGAGCACTAATGTCAGTTTCCAGTCCGTTCAACGAACTCCTGAGTAAACGTACCGGACTGCGGTTCTTCATCGAGTCGTAATTTGGAGTCATATATGCCGTGTACGCCGTTAAACTTCGTAGCTCATCGCAAGGAAGATCGTCATCGCTATGGTCTGCTGAAAGGATTGGCTGGAAAACGTCTCCTTCCGGATTCATGAAAGTAGACGTGCTTCCTGGCCGCCGCATTTCTTCCAGACTAACCTCCTCGGGACAAATCTTGTAGTTGAATACTTGATCAAGGTCGTCAGCGATGCAATAGCACTGAATCCACTCAGTCATTAGTAAACTTTCACCAGGGTTCAGCAGCACGCGTGGCTCGGAGTTGCTGTGGAAACTTGACTCGTCGTTGGAAAACATAACCTCCACACCGATAAGCAGTACAGTGCCTGAGGTTTCTCGAAAAACCCGTGATGCCGCTTGAGAAAATGTTAGTCCGGCGTATCTCTGGCATTAAAAAAGCAGGCATGAGAGTGTTGAGCTTCAGCAAGCACCACAAGACAACTTTATAAGCTCGTACCTTAGACAGATGGATAAGATACATTTCCTTCGCTGCACCAGCATAATACTCTTTGATCCAGCTGCGATCCGACAAGTCCTTCTCGGCAACGTCAGTTGTTAGGATGTCTGGGCCCATGGATTTGTCTTTGCCAATAACTGTGAGCAGTGGTGTAGAGCTTTCTTCCGTAGTTTCGCTCGTATCAACAGAGAGACTCGATCCAAGATTCGACAGCATTGTGGAAATGCCGTTGGAGACTGAATTTTGCGCCAACGATCCCATCTTGATGACATTTTCACAGATAATATCGTCTGGGTGTACGCCTGCAGCTAGCATGTGCCGGGCACTCTCAGCTCGTAGAACCATCACCAAAAAGCGCACAGAAGGTCTACAACCAAAACAAAGTCAGGTAAGTTGATGAAAGTGAACAGTATGATACCAAAGCAACTAGTAAATTTACCCCACATAGCGTTTAGTAGCCAGGACACGCATGATGTTCATCGCATCTTCCGTTGCAGCATCACCAGTGAGCTTGTCTGGAAATACGAACACAGCTCTTGCGTCACGAGCTAGAGACCGTTCCAGATCTTCTGAGCGAGTAGCATTGCCAGCGATGTATGTTACGCGAGACGTGAAAATGGGATCCGCCTTCAGCTTTGCAATGAGTGGATTCGTAAACTTGGACTTGCGTTCTCCTAGCACAACAGCTTCAAGTTGCTGTGTATCGGTATCGCTTATGTGATCGACGTGGAAAAGCTCTCGTAGTATGGCTGAGAGCTGGGCAAACGAAGGATTGCCGATAATGAGCACATGTTTGGAGTCTGGCTTGGGCGTGTATGGCGGGTTTCCGATTTGACGCAACTTGTACAAGCTGACAAGGTTATCAATCTCCATCGAGAACAAAATAATGCCCATGACGATGAACATGATAGCTAAAAGCCGGCTTGGCACTGTTTGAGGTGCGTTGTCACCGTAACCAACCGTACCAAGTGTCTTTGAACGAAATCACACGAAACAAACAGAAGTTAGCAATGATACATACATATAAATATCTGATTCCCATACAACGTACCACAACAGTGAAGTAGAATGCGAACATGACGGACCAGGTTGAGTCAGAGCAGTCGGAAGATTCGTGTCTTGTGACGGATCCATCGCTGCAGCTGTAGAGATGAGCAAATCCGTTGTCGGTGAAGAACGGCATTTCGCCGAGTGTCTCGAAGAAAAACATAATGGATGCACCAACCATGATCATGAGCAGGATCTTTATACCAAGTCGGACCATCATCCAGCCTTTCGTCGATCTGGGCACGTTCTTCTCCATCTCCAAGTAACTTCTCAAGATAAATACTGGCCGCATGACTGAGAAGTCCAAGTACGTTCGTGTTCGCACTCCTCCAATAACTTTAACCGTACCAAATCCCACGCCGAAATTCGATGCCAAGCACAGCAACTCAAGCAGCGTGAGAGGCGAGAAACAGAAGAGAAGCTTGTATCGCGACGCGAGGAAACGAACCACATCGTCCACAATGGCGATGACATAGAGCCCCAGTACGGTGTAATAGGACCATTCTGTTACGTCGTACGAGTTAAGTCTGGACATGGTAAGACCCAAGATGCCAAAAGACACGAGCAATTGAACAGGTCGGTTCTGCGTAAGGCACAGCGGTATCAGTACAAAATGCTACATGTAAAAAATACGGTTGCCTTCGTTCTCTTACGATGATAGCGGCGGTGCGGGATGTGCGTGCCCATCGGCGACAATTGAGTGAGAAACCGACCTCGCCTTTGCGTAGCGATTTACGCTGGCGGCGCGAGGTGACCGTCCAGAACAATGAGATAAGCACCAGGCCGGCTAACAGATAAGAGGCGTGGATCACCTGCTCCTGCGTATGTGCCCAGTCGGCCACACAGCGCGGTGTGCTAGTGGTGAGGTTGGTCTCCTCGTTCTGGTTCACGCAGATCATCCCCATGGTCTAAGACGGAGGAATGCGGAGTGACGAAATTGTTAGTGAGTGCGGGCAGTCGCGAGTGCGGGTTGCGGTAAACGGCAAAAGCAGATGGGGCAGAATAGTGGTGTGGCACTCCAATGAAGTCCACCGTCCTCAGCTCGTTGTAGAGCGTGGTGCAAAATGCTTGGATGAAGCTTTATTTCGGATCTCAACGGCGTCGACGCAGAGCGTGTGCACGGAAACTCACCCATAGGAATCGAGCAAGTCTCCAGTATCCAATTTGGAGTGCTGCATCCTGATGGTCAAAGTTTTCACCTCGAACCAATGCTTCGTGACAGAGTGCACAATTTTAATACTACTAATAGTAGTAAGCTGCTGAGGGCAGCACAGCCAAAATGACGCTGCATCTCTTTCTTCTTTTTGAAAAGCTATGCGCAGTCGGTGGCAACATCTACGTACTTTTAACAACTTACTAGGTCCTTATCGAATGGAGATTGAAATGAAAGTTAATGGAGAATGTGGCGTTGAGACAGGTCAAGTCACAGACACAAGAGAGTCCGCGCTTGGTTTAAAGTCGCCATGATCGTGTCATTCGCTATTCCGTCGTACGACTTCTGCTCGCCCAAGGCTAAGTTGGCGAGCATACTTTAATCCGACGAGAAGACAGGCAGGAAGTACATGAAGAAGTATAATCAGCTCGAAGACAGCGCTGGTCGCTTGCCCAAGTTACAAGACTTCTTTACTTGGCAAATTCCGTTATGGTATGAACTGCGGAACCACCCGAGCCACCGATACCAAATATGCTATTCTGCAGTATTTACGGTTGGATATATTTCTTTTAGTAGTTTTACTTTTTACGAAATGGTGTAACTAACATAAAATCCATTCGATCTGAAGGCAAAAAAAAAAAATGGCGCCAACGGAGACTGCAGGAATCAAGCGCCCGGTGGATGAGGCCCAGACCCCCGCTGTGAAGCGCGTTCGCTTTGCGAACTCGGTGTCTTGTAATGATGCTATATCACTGGCTATTGGTACGCACACAGTACAATTTCATTTTGTCATCCTGCTTTAACTGCTTTCGTGGTGACATAGCAACCGACGCCGACGAAGTTGAAGCGCAGAAGCTCGAATGGTTCTCCCCAAAATTCTCGTATCACGCGTTCGACACCGACGAAGTAATAGATGGATATGAAGGCCTCAAGATCGCCGCGACTTTCAATGGATTCGACTTCAGAGCGCTGTTGGATGTTGAGTTCAACGAGAAGGAGGACACGTGAGTGTTTATTTTGACGGTGGAAGTTTTGATACTGGTTGCTGATCTTGTAACGCTGTGTGAACGCAGTGCAGATGATATTGTTGCAAAATTGACGCCGTCGTTACCAGAGGGCTTCGTTAAAGAGAAAGACGAGTTTGTCGCTGCATTACGGAAGGCTGCGGCGAGCTTTACCGGTCCGCCAGGGAAATGTATCGAGTCGTACAGTATGAAGACATCTGCAAGCAAAGGTGAGGATTCTGCCCACGATAGGCACTTTGAAATCTACGAATGCAAGCTAGAAGACAACGAGCCTGCGCAGAAACTCCTTGCAAACTTGCAAACACTGTCGCTATGGTTTATCGAAGGTGAGTGGGCCTTGCGTGTTGCTCCATTAGCCTTTTTTTTAAAGCATATTCACATAAAACTATGATCTTCAGGAGCCGATGCCGTGGACGTGACGGATCCGCGATGGCTGGTGTATTTGATCTACGAGCGAACTGAGGAGGGTGACGGACCATTCTGCCCTGTGGGTTTTATCACAGTCTTCAAATTCTTCAATCCGCTCGGACGGAAGGCTACATACTGCAAGCCAGATCAGAATGAGACGCACCGTATTTGCCAAGCACTCATTTTTCCAACTTACCAGCGCCAAGGTGAATCTCTAAACTACTTTTGCTTGTTCGTTGACGAATTTCTAATTGAAACGTGACTATACAGGACACGCCGAGCGTCTGGTGCAATGCATCCATGCGCAAGCAGTGGCGAATGAACACGTGTACGAACTGACTGTAGAGGACCCGGTCCCAGCGTTCGCTAGCGTACGTAATATCTTGCAATGTCTGCTGTTGTGCCAATAGCTTACCAAAAGCTTATGACTCGTTTCAGCTACGGGACCTGGTCGACCTGAAGAACTGCATCAAGAACAATTTCTTCTCTATGTCTCCCGAGGGGAGTAAGGACGCTAGCGGCACTGGTCAAGGCACGGAAGCATTGACTACTGCAGACATCCACGCTGTACAAGAGAAGCTCAAAATCACGCAGAAGCAGGTGCAAACGTGCTACGAGGCGCGGAAATTCACGTTTGTGGATCCAAGCGACGAGGCGCAGCACAAGAAATTTCGACTTGAGGTCAAGAAGCGGCTGTTTCGCCTGCATACAGAGGAGCTGGACGGCATGGGCGCGGACCGTCGCAAAGCTTTCCTCGACGCCGAGTATCAGAAGCTGGAAGAGCACTATCGGCAGATGGCGTTAAAAATTGGTCTTCTGAATATCAACCAATCGTAGAGTGGGATTACAAACATTATCAACCAATAGAAAGTCGACATAGAATTTGGGAGGGGGGATTATGCTGCCATTTGAGAACACGAATTGTGTCAACAGGATGAGCGGCAGTCTGGACCCGACGGTGCAGTATGAGCTGCTGGAACGTATCGGCGGAGGTGCCTTCGGGGATGTTTACAAAGGGGTAAATACCCACACGGACGAGGTGGTCGCTATCAAGATCATCGATCTCGAGTCAGCGGCCGATGAGATCGAGGACGTGCAGCAGGTGCGATCGTCTCCAAGTTTTTCTACTGTGTGACATATAGATGGGTTAACGGTTGACTGTCGATGAGTAGGAAATCCATGTGCTGTCACAGTGCTCCTGTGACCAGCTCACAATGTACTCGGGATCATTTATTGCGGGAACGAAGCTTTGGTTTGTGAAACTCTGTCTACTGTATCGTGTTCTCCTTGGACTGACGTATTGTTTGGTGCAGGATCATCATGGAGTTTCTGTCGGGTGGATCAGTGTCGGATGTTATGCGCAATGGTCCGTTGGACGAGGCTTTTATCGCCATTATTCTGCGTGAACTATTGAAGGGACTGGAATATCTACACTCGGAGAAGAAGATCCACCGCGACGTCAAAGCTGCAAACGTACTACTTAGCGGAGATGGTCACGTGAAGCTGGCGGATTTTGGAGTCACTGGACAAATTACAGAGACGATGACGAAGCGTAACACGGCAGTGGGGACCCCGTTTTGGATGGCGCCTGAAGTCATTCAAGAGTCGGAATATGATTTTAAGGCGGACATTTGGTCCTTGGGTATCACCGCGATCGAGATGGCCAAGGGTGCACCTCCGCTTGCCGAGTACGTAATACTTTGTTTCGATCCAGAGGTTTTACAAATTTTACTGACTTTTTTTTGGCATCCGAACAGCATCCATCCGATGAAAGTGCTGTTCATGATCCCGACGATGGACCCGCCCGTGTTAGAAGGCAGTTTTTCGCCTCGATTCGTTGATTTCGTATCGTGCTGCCTGCAGAAAGCCCCACAAGATAGACCGACGGCAACTGAATTATTGCAACACCCATTCATCCGCTCAGCCAAGCACATATCTCATCTAACGGAGCTCTTAGATCGGAACCAATTAGAAGACCAGCAGCAAGATGGCCAGGAGGATGGAAATTCTCAGAGTAAAGATAGCTGCTACAACAATGGTCGTGTGGAGAACGGATTCGGACACAACAGCTACAAACCACCTCTGAGTGGCGGACTTGATGACACTCTGCCATCCTACGGTCAAAGGGATAGCGGCAAGCGTCATGCTCGAGACGCGTCAGTGGGCAGTGGATGGGATTTTAACACCATTCGTCTGTCATCTACCAGTCTTCAGCAGGAGTTGAAGGCTCAAGCAGAAGCTGCAGTGGCAGCTGCTGCTCCAATTAGTAGAAACGACGACCATGACGTTCCTGGTGAATCAATTGGAGAAGGTGATGACTCTGTTGACGCATATTCGACCTCCAATACCAACACTACAGCGACGGCAGGCATCGATTCGACATTGCCACTGCATGAAGTTGAGAACGAGGATCAGGATGACGACGAAGACGAAGCGTTCAACAGCATTGTGAAACCTGCGATCAGTGACGTCTTGGAGCGTGTGCTCAATCCGCCGACTATTGGGTTCATGTCGCCGACACATCGTGACGCTGCAGAAGCTGCCACCGAGGTGCAAGAAGATCTCCTCTTTGAGTTGCTGCACGTGTTTGACAACGTAAGTCAACAGAAGGGCCTACTCCGGCAAGTGCTGCGGAGTCTAGCAGACTACACAAACGCAGTGATGCCTCCTGCCAACGCGAACGTAACAGGGAACTCAAGTTGATCAAACCCTGTTCTTACATTCAAAGAATTGATTACGCCGCTCTGATGTACTGCGATGTTGAATCCTTTACTCACTGGATGAACTAACGGTGATCTACGATCGATCACCACCTTTGCCTTCAGGCCTTGACGGAATGCTGCTCTCTATCGCGATCTAAAGAGCTTCGACCAATTATTTCCAGACACCAGCCTTCGATTTCGAGGTTGACCGTGCTGATCTCGTAGGGCCCAGCGAACTCGGGCGTTTGCTACTTAATGGACTTTGATCTGAACTGGTGCCATTGGTCGATGTAGTGCTGGACTGTAAGCGAGATCCGGACGACTTCCGAGCGACTGTTCGCGTCTTCGTAACTCGACTAGCACCTGTGCTCTGCACGCCCGATGTACTTGCACTATCGTCGTGCTGATTATTACCGGGTGTGCTTGCAGGACGAGTACTCTTCGACTTCTTCATCGGTGGTGACGACAATGGTAACCGCGGGATGAGTGAGGTAGTGCTTCGTCGTCTGGCCTCAGTCAACTGCTGACGTAGCTTCTTGATCTCTTCTTCGCGCTCGTGAAGCAACTTTTGCTGAGCCTCTTGCTGCGATGAAGACACGCGAGTCTTTGCATTCTGCTGTCGCAGCAATCGTTGAGCTGCTTCGCGTTGTTCCGCCTCCTTCTGCTTGGTCTCTCGCTCCGCCTTGAGCTGGTTGCTTAGATCATCCACGAGCTTTTTCAGGGATTCGTTCTGAGTCTTCAGACTCTCGTTCTGCGTCTCCCACGCTCTAAGCCGGTTCTGCAGCGCAGCCGACTGTTTTTCCGACTGGTTCTTCTGGTCGCGCTTCTGAAGGAGAGGAGGCATCGGAACCGTGACGTGAGAACAAATGCCTCCTCGAATAGAGAGCAGAGCCACAGCGACTTACCAGAGCGACCACAGACTGTTGTGATTGCATGTACTTCCTCTTGGAGATTTGCATCTGCTGCTTCAGCGACTGGAGCTCGGCAAACGCCTTCTTGGCCGACAAGATATCCTTCTTGTTTTTCACAATCTGGTTCCTGCCCACCACGATATTGCGCACGCGTTCCGCTAGCTGAAGCGACCGGAATGTCTCGCTCGCGTTCTCGATCGTTGGACCGACGTTCACAATCATCACTGTCTTGCACGACGAGTTTAGTACATCCTGTAGCAAATACGTGAGTTTCGAGTTACGGTATGGAACGTGCGCCATCTTCTTATCCAAAGCCTCCATCACATCAGCCAGAGCCGAAAGAGACTTGTTGATATGAGCTGCTTCCTTGAGCATATCTCCGCTCACATTGCTCTTCTTGACCCTCTCCGAACCAGCCAGATCCACGAGATACAGCTTGCCACATCCCTCTTCATCTACCTCAATCTCGGCTGGATCCTTGTCAGCACCATCAATTTCCGGCCGGCGTTTCGAGATCTGCACAATCACAATACTGTGCGATCGACTACTGTGCATATTCGAATTGGTTTTTCCAGTGACACGGTTGGTTTGTGCGTTCCGCAGCACGTCGATCGTTTGTTGAGGAGAAGACACAGTCGCCATTGTCAGATCCGGAACGCAAATATCTCCAGTTGCCGAGTCATGGCGAATTTCCAGCCCCTTCGGGTTACTTGTGTTGATCAAGTCACGCAACGAGTCATTATAGATTTCCAGCACACCGACTTGAACGTGGTAGACTGAAGATTCAGTAGCGCCGTGCAGACCATTCATCTCATCGTCCTGGTCCTCGTTGTTGACAGGTTCAGGTGTGTAGATAGCTCCACGCAATTGAACAGACTGGAAAAGATGGCTGATGATCCTGTAGTTTAGACCAGGATCACTGGGTGTACCCTCCATAGTGTACGTTTTACCTGAACCAGTTTGTCCATATGCGAAGATACACGCCTTGAATCCATCCACAACAGACTGCGCGATCGGCTCCACTTCACGGAAAACATCGTTTTGAGTCTCTTCTGGGCCCAATATGCGATCAAATGTGAATACTTTCCACGAACTGTTAGTTGCCAGTGCTTCCATGTTCCCGCTGCTGCCATCAGCGTCATTGGAGAACGAACGGTCCGGTCGGATATCCATAGCCGCCAAATCTGCCTGATTCACCACGTTCACTGCCAGCTTGGAGCCCCACGACTTTTCCAGTTCTTCGTTGATGATCGGTCGCACACGACAGAACACTTGGATATTACCGCAGACAGTCTGCAGACGCGACAGCAACGAAGCATTGCGCGTCCGTTCAGCCAGATATTTCCGCGCAAGCTGTTCAGGCGTGAAGTTCACTTGCAGCACGTCAGCTGATACTCGCTTAGCCGGTACAACACTGGACGACATGCCTTCCTGGTTCCTTAGCCGAGCGTTCTCCGCTGACAGAGAGTTCAGAGACGTTCGCATCGTCTGAATCTCCATCATCAGTCGCTTGGATTCAGCCGCTTCCTTCTCCGAGGTAGGCGCCGAAGTGGGCGCTGTCGACAAAGATGATGCACGCTCCAATTCGGAGGTTCTCTTGGTTGCTTCGTCCAGTTGCTTCTGGAGGTCCAAATTCAAACTATTGAGCTCCTCCACTTCCTTGCGGTTCTGCGATATCTCGCCCTTGCCAAACTGAAGCTTTCGTTCCAGCTCGCTACGCTCCTGTTTGCTTTCCTCAAAGTTCCTCGTCAAGGTCTCAATTTGCTCCTTCAACTCGTCCACAACTTCATTCTCCTGCTCTAGTTGGGTCTTGAGTTGACGTTCATTCTCTGCCAGATCATCATACTGGGACTTGAGGGCGTCCACCTCGTCCTTAAGGATCGCAATTTCCTTGTCCTTCTCTTCAAGCTGGTTTTGCATATTCTCACGTTCGTTCGTGAACTCAATACCTCCATCATTAGCTGTAGCCATCTCGGACTGGAGCTTCAGCAACGACTCCCGCAGTTCTTCAATCTGTTCGTCTCGAGTACGAATTTCTTGCGATTTACCGATCAATTCATCGGTCATTTCAGTCATCTCGGCCTCCATAGCCTCCATATGAGCTAGACTCTCACGAAGTTGTTGAACTTCGGCTTCGGCTGCAGCGCGGGCCTCTGTCTCGTCCTGTACATTGGCTGAAAGTGCCTCGACTTCCTCTCGCAGCGACTCAATCAGCACTTCTCGACTGATCTCATCACGCTCGTGCGCCGTAGAGTGACGCAGCGAGTTCTCGTTGTAACTCGAGTCGTAGCCTTCATCATCGTCCTCCGACTGGCTACGGGTCGTGGCCATACTGTCGTTATTCGAGAACGTCTCGGACACAGTCGTTGCGTCTTCATACTTTTGCTGCAGTGCGTAGAGCTCCGATTTAAGGTCCATGATCTCAGTACGGAAGCGCTCGGTGGCCAATTCGTGCTCATGCTGGAGCTCCTCCTGGTCGCTCAGCAGGAAGACCTTCTCCTCCATCTCGCGCTCCATTTTGTGCCGAATATCGGACTCTGTGGCCTGCAGGACACGCACTTGCGTCTCTAATTCATCCTGCTGTTGCTCAAGCTTGCGACGAGCCTGTACGGCTGCGTGTAGCTCGGCGCGTGTGGCCTGAAGCTCATTCTCGAACTGGCGCGTCTGGTCCAGTGCCTCCTCCAACTTATTACGAGCGATCTGCAGGTCGCGCTCCAAGTACTGGTTTTTGTTAAGTAGGTGGGTGTTGCGCTTCTCCACGCGGGACAATTCTTGCTCCAATTCCAGTTCCAGTTCGTGGCTGGACTGCGTGTACTCGTCGAACTCGTCCTGCATCTGCTTGAGCTCCTGCGTCTTTTTGCGCAGCTCCTCGCGCAGGAACACGACGTTATCTTCTTCTTCAGAACCGCTCTCCATTGTGGACAACGGTGGTGAAATTTTTAACGAGGACTTTGTGAGACGAGAACTTCCCCCAGTCGGTAGAGAGCAGGGGAAAAAGGTGTAAAGGAGAAGCTTCCCCTTCAGTAATGCCTCGCTGACCGTGTCGTAACGGGCACATGCGGAAAATTCGCTTAGGTGCGAAATGGGTTGTTGGATACCGGTTGAGTTGTGAATCAGAACCGGTATGAAAGATGGTGGTGTCGACTTCAACGGCCGATTTGATTGGCGATCTTCCAGAGATCCGGTGCAGAGATTCAAAGCGACGCCGACACCCGAGCGCAAGGAGACGGATAAGCTTGACGGGTATGCGCCTTGCTGTGTTGATTGCTGCGTTAGTAGGCGCCCCAGCGGTGAGCGCCGGCCCGTATGATGGCTGGGCGCCGCACCGCTACTGCAACGACATCGACGGCATCGAGGCCTCGCGCGTCCCGCCACTCACCCCTGAACAAGCCGAACGTGTGGAATCCCTGGAGCAGGTTCAGATCATCGCACGCCACGGTGCTCGTGCGCCCTATGCCAAGCTTTTCTGTTGGGACTCGCACAAGCACAACCCCATGAACGCCGAATGGGACTGCACTACCACGTCTGTCTCGGTAGGCAACGTGCTGCATTGTTTTGGCACGTGTATGGTGCGATTGATGTCGTTCTGCTGATTGTTTACAGTCTCAAGATATTAACCCGAATGAGCACTCGAAAGGGTTTGGACGACTGTACCGCAAGTCTTACATGGATGGTCACAATATCCTCAAGGGTGACTGTGTCATTGGTGGACTGCTCCCGCTGGGCCGTCACCAACATAAGACCAACGGACAGTGAGTTGATCATCACGCTGTCCTAGGTATTTTAGAGGGCAACTGCTAACCGCAACGTGGCAGGTTTCTTCGTGACGCCTATGTAGGCGATGGCCCGCTCAAACTCTTCCCCACTGCAAACTTGTCGGTACGTTGATCTCACTTCAGAATATCTGGAGAGGTCTGGTGCTCAGGTTTGCCTCATCTATCTTGTGAATTATCAGCAACTGGAGTTGAGCGAGATTTACCTCCGTAGTGATGATCAAGAGCGTACACTGGGATCGGGCCAAGCTTTGATCGATGGGCTTTTCCCAGTAGACGGCACACTATCCCTTGAGCTTCACCGCATGCTCTCGTGGGATGTTGCCGATATCTCCGTCGATTACATTAACGCCAACGAGAAAATCTGTCCGTTCATGGGACACATCGGACAGCTATCCAATGAATCACCGGAGTTCTGGGAACACCTCCGCGACCCTGCCACCGTTGAGATTGAGCACCACTTCAATGACCTTGTGGGCAATTTTTCATGGGGCTCCGCGTTGGAGTGTCTAAGCACGGCTCGTTGCAATGATCTGGAGTTGCCACCTGGAATTGATGAGGAAACGTTTACCAAGACGTACCATGAAGTTGAGGTGCGCCAGGGTATCTTTCTCACATACAACGACTCGTGGTATGCCAAGCTTGCCATGCAACCGCTGGCTCACGACATGCTGACTCGACTCGATGGTGTGCTGAACGACGACCCGGACACGTACAAGCTCTCCGTTACGATGGGTGCATATGCAGTCACTCTTTTCTATGCTTAGTGCTAGATGCTTGCCACTGACCGACGTCCTGTTATTTGACCTGTTGACTGCAGCTCACGATTCAACGATCATGCCGTTCCTGGCTGCTTCAGTGAAGGAGAACTGGGACCGCCTCTGGACTCCGTACGCGGGCATGCTGGTGATGGAAGTATACAAGACGAAGAGCGGCTCGCACGCGGTTCGGATGATCTTCCACGGGGAACCTCAGCATATTCCAGAATGCCACGACAGTACGTCTTGTGCTGTCTGCTTGTTGTTACGTTCGAAGCTCAATAAGCTTGTCGCTGACTTTTGTTCACCTCTGCTGTAGCTTTGTGCGATATCGAGGAGTTTGCCGAGGCCTTTGCGTTTGCACGCAACCCACGCACTCAGCACGACTGCAAGTTGCCCAAGAAGAAGAAACACAAAAGCCCCTCATCAAATCTGATGACCACAACGGCTGACGGCCATGCGGGGTTCCAGGCTTCTGACTACATCGGAAGCTACTTGCTGCTGGGACTGGTGGGCATTGCTGGGTTGCTCGCCCTGCGTGCGAAGGCTCGACGCAACCGATTGCGTGAAGTGCGCGGCGGCGACGAGACTATCTCTCTCCTTCCTTAGAAGTGGGGAGTAAATCTCGCAGTGACACCACTGGAAACTCGTCCAACAACTCAAGAAAAAAATGCGATCAATAAAACGCACCACCAAACTTGACTTTGTCACTTCAACGTTATTTTTTTCGTCAGCCTTCTGACGTATTTGTACCAATTAACAGGTACTTTTTTTAATGTAGGCGCAATCGTGAGGTGGAGACAACAAGAAGTGCAGACATGTTAATGCAGCGAGTGCTACGCCGCGGACGCTTCCGTGCGTATCGCGCTGCAGCTTTATGCGTCAATGCAAGATCTACACAAGCAACTACTGGGCAGTATTGTCAGCATCAAAGGCGATTCCTGAGTGATGGCATGGACGCCTTCATGGAGTTCGAACGAGAGATGGCACTCAAACGAAGGAAGGAAAATGTAAGTGCAATTAGTCGGTATGTGGCTATGTACCAGTTGTAGTACTAGCATTTTGTGACGATGGTGTACTGTCATCGTTCAGCCTGAGCAATTCGCACCATCAGGTCCATTGACTCCTCCAGTCAAGCCGAAGGACGACGAGTGCTGCCACTTGGATTGCCCCAATTGCGTGCTCTTAGTCTACCAGGTTTGTCGGTGCTGCAGTTGGGCACGAGTTTGAGCGAAATCAACTAACTGGTACTTATGTGTGTGGTGCAGGAGAAGCTGCTGGAGTACGAGCTCAGTCTACAAAGTCAGAACCAAAGAAAAAAGCCTGAACCTCCGGCGTCCAAGTACGACTTGTCGTTCTATTCAAGCAAAGACGACGAAGAACTCTCAGATACACGGCGGAAGCTGCTAATAGAGGCCGATCGCGCAGTGTTCGAGGTCGCAGCGAACGATGTAATCAGTGCTCCACATCAAACAGCGGATGGAGCGTGGCGATCGGTACGCCACATTGACCTCCACATTCGCGATGATCAACAGGAACTCGTCAGTGAGCAAGCATCGAATATCGGTGTATACGTACCAAACGACCCATCTGTGGTGGAGCGTATGCTTGTACACTTGCACGTAGAGGACCCTAATGTCGTGTTCACCGCCGAGCTTCTTCCGGATTCCCCAGACGATGGCCAGCATCAGCATCAAGGGTTTGAACACCGTCCATTTGCTCGCGCTGGAACTGTGCACGATGCACTTACATGGACGTTCGATCTGGACTCAACTCCCCGCCAAAGCTTCCTTCGCAGCCTCGCTGCTTACGCTTCGGATGAGAATGACGTTGCTGCGTTAATGTCGCCTCAGACGGCAGAAGCCATTCAAGCTGAAAGGTGAGCGATTTACTGAGCTGTGCATGGTGCAATGATTATTTGATTGTTAATGTGTTGTATCTGCCTCCTCATTGCAGGCCGCACCAGCACGTGACTGTAGCAGATATTTTCGACCGCTTTCCGTCAATACGCTTGAGCTTTGCCGAGTTTTTCCAGAACGCGCCACCCACTGCTCCGCGGTACTACACAGTATCCTCGTCACGGCAATTTGTTCCCGATATCGTCTCCATCACGTTAGGACTTCGTAAAACGGATGCGCAGCCGCTGCCGCGGTGTTCCAGCTACCTTGCAATGCTGAAGCAGGGTGATGCCATTCGCGCTTCCTTCTACCAGTCGTCGTTTGTGTTCCCGTTCCACGACCGTCGTCCTATCATGCTCATCAGCGCAGGAACAGGAATTGCGCCGTTCCGAGCGTTCCTTCAGGATCTTGAGCATGAAAATGATACGTCACCACATCACCATCGACCAGCTTATCTGTTTTACGGCTGCCGTGAAGCGAGCGTGGATTTTCTGTACGGTGAGGAGCTGCAGCGTGCACGGGACTCTGGTGTGCTGGACAAGCTGCACGTAGAATTTTCAGGTGAAAATGACCAACCAAAACGGGTACGTGGGTGATGTGGTTGCAGTGGTTGGAGAGCTGCATGTACTACGAATATTTACCCGCTTTTGTCATTGTGTCAATTTCGATAGTATGTACAAGATGCGCTGCGTGACCAGAGCGAGCTCGTGGCTCGACATCTCCTCGCAGATGAAGGCTACATCTACGTGTGCGGCAGTCTGGACATGGGCCGCGCCGTGAAGAAGGCAATCGCTGCGGCTTTACTCAAGCACCCGGAGTACTCGAACGGTGTGATCACCACACAAGAAGACGCCGAGCGTGTCGTTACGCAGAAGCTGGCAGGGCAGCTCATTATCACGGAGCTCTGGTAGAGTGGTGGTCGATTGCTGGTGGGCCGCCAGTGGTGGCTGCTCGAATTGAACCTCGATGGTTCGTCATTCCGCCGTGTGGTCATTACGCGAACTTGGCAGCAAGGATCCAAGCGGAGTGGCCTTTTCTTTGCAAGTGAAGTTGACCCTGTTCACACAGCGTCCGTCTCACGAGAAAGGTAGGAGCGGCTGCAACAAGCCACGATAGAAAGCGTAGTTTATGCTCTGTATTCACTCCGCCATACAATTGCGTAATACTAGTAACGCACACTCGATCCTTGCCATCTTTGCTTCCTCGTGCTGAGGAGTCCTGACTCAGGGGGAATGATAGAAATGACCAGAGGCGATATATGCACGAGCAAACAGCTTGTTGGCGTTGGCGGATAAATTACATACGAATGAAACTTAGCAAGGTTGCTGTGTGTCGCAACCATCGTGATGGCAGCGCGAGCCAAGCAGATTCCTTCTGTTCTTGGGAAGCGGTTGAAACAGCCACGACGGCGTGAACGTGTGATCTGAGGCAGGCAGCAGCAGCTTGGTCGCCTACACTGCACCAGTCGCGGTTATCTTTGTCAACGATTCGTTGCGGTCGCTTCTCCGCAAGCAAAAAGGTGGATCCGTCTCACTGAGAGAAGCGCTGCTGTTTGGAACGACCGTCCTCTCACAAACGTCGTTATCCGGATGGACATACTATCCGGACAGAGTAGCCAATCAGCGGTGGCAACGAAAGTTCAGAGAGTCTTACCGCCACCGGCCGTAATCGCTGCCTGTCTCAATTTTGAATTGGGCTTTATAAAAATGGGCAACTTCAAAAAATTAACTTCGAAGAAGTATGCCTGGAAAATACATGTACCTGTATCGCTTGAAGAGCGCTTTATCAGGGGAGATTGATTACCTGCAAGTTATCTTGATCGTGGGCAAACTTCTGTGAATCCCCAAGTGGATGGTTCAATGCCCTATCGCATGGCAGAGCTTGCTTGCCTAACAAACCGCGACCATGCCTTTCACATGCGCAGGATAATAATCCGGAACACCAGCGAACCTATCGGTCATCGTCTCATTTGCCTCAGCGCGCTGCATTAGAAATTCTAGATTAACGTTTACTTTGCTGCAAATGCGTCTATACACTTGTGGGCGTGGGGATTCTGGACTCGTCAACCCCTCGCTACCTAGACGTTTAGCCGAGAATGTTGCTCGGATGCAGAGTTGCATGGGGTGTTGCTCGTAAAAAGACCCAAGCAGCCTGCCTACCCATAGTCTATCTTGAGAAGGGGCTACAATATTACTTAAGCAAGGTGAGCTCATCGTCTACGGGATCGTCAGGTTCTTCATACTCTACCGATTGAACATGTGAAGATGCCATTTGTTGGTTAACAATTTGGGCACTTTTTGCGGCGCAAAAGATGGGGCGAGGATGATAATTAGGATAGGCATACCCTTCCCCTGAACCTGCGTCAATTTGAGACGTCAAGTCCAACGTCGAGTAACTGGCGGCGGCTGAGGCAGGCGCATAATTGTTTTTTTGCCCCCTGAGCGAGTTCCCCCATTTTCCTCTTTGCAGCGAGAAGCACAGTAGGAACTCGCGTCCGATGCTCACAGTTATGTCGGTGAGCAGTGCTCCCAGAAGCAGCACCAAGCCTAAGAAGGAGCGGCGGCTCCGCAAGCGCCTACGCGCATGTCTTCCGCACTTCCACGCCACGGAGTCTGAAACAGGAGCGGTCGAGGAGGTACGAGGCAGCGAGTCCGCCACAGTCAAGATGCCTGCCCGCGCAAGCGTCCCCACGCCCGCTCGCAGTACAGATCTCGCCACCATGAACCACTCGTGGTCTGACACGGAGGAATTGTCCCCCGTGTCCGTCATGCTGGGCCAGTCCATGCGCAAGCGCCGCCAACACAGCTCGTCCGGGTGCTCGTCTCCAGCGTCGGTCTCTTCATCATCTTCCTCGACGTCATCAACATTCTCAGTATCTCGTAAGGGCGTCACGTACGGCCACGACGGCGCACTGGTTCACTGCCGCTTCTGCGAGATCCTGGAGTCCGGCGACGAGCCCTTCCTTTACGAGGACGAGGACATAGTGGTCTTCCGTCCCCTGGCCCCTGTGGTCGTCAGCCACATCCTGGTGGTGCCACGCCGCCACATTCGCAACGTGAACAAGCTCACACCCGACGACGCGGCACTGCTGCGTCGTATGCGCGAGGTCGCCGCCAGCGTCCTACGTGAAATGCCTCGTCCTTCCGTGATGTTAGCTCCTTCAAAGGCAGAGCGGGCTCACATCTCAACGGACTCTACGGACGAGGACTCCGAGTCGGACTTTAAGTTCGCCTTCCATTCACCCCCGTTCAACAGTATCGATCACGTTCACATGCACGCCTTCCGTACGCGTGACGGACGCTTCGGCGCTGTCGGCTCCATTAAGTATCGCACAGAGACCTGGTGGTGCCGCTCGTTTGACGAGGTCATGACTCGCCTGGGTCTCCGCAACCGAAAACAGTGTGGGAGCGACCCATCGACGGTCAATTCGGAGACGAAGCACAGAAGGAGACACCACGCCGCGAGCCACCCAACCTGCAGTAACGAGGTGCACTCCAACGAATCTATGGTCTTGACGTCGGTCGACAGTCTGGGTTAATAGAAACAGAGACAACTATTTAAGATGAAACAATTAAGATCATCATTATCTTCTGATTGCAAGAAGATTTCTATCTACTATGTAGTAAGTTCTTGTTTACCGTACGCCAGAGAAAGAATGGAATCCTTCTACTTGGACTTTATGTTTGTTTAACAATCCCATCCAACAGCATTCGCTAAGCAAATTTTCTAGGTAGATCCATGAGTGCTCTTTGTTGCAATCTTTTCCGCCTTGATAGCATTCCACGTCTCGAGTATCTTGCTGTGATCGTCAGGACTATGGTGTTTCTTGTTCATAGTCATTCCCAGCGCCTTCACCGCACCAGAATGGATAGCATTCACGTCCTCAATACTTCCCGTCTCAGCGGCAGCCTCAAGTAGCGTCGAAAAGCAAGTGATTGGCAGCACGTAGTTATCAAAACGATCATTTGCTGCTTGATGATATCCCTCGATGATTGCGAGCTTCCTGCGCTTCCATCCATCGTCGCAAACACCCTCCTGTCCACACAAAACTGGTATGGCCACGCGTAACGTAGCCTTATTGGGTATAACATTTCGTCGCGTCATGTCCTCCCAAACCTTCATAAAGTCTTCTGCTGCGTACAACTTGCCATCCTTGGTGTTCTTGGTCATGGTATTGAAGATGTTCTCATAATCAACCGCTCGAATAGGAATTCCATCCGACTCCAGCTGGTCTAGTGCAGCGACGACCAGGTCGAGTCTCTTCAAACTCAAAAAGATTCGTAGTACATCGCGCACGGTGCGTGCCGGGTCAAAGCTGAGTGCATCTGACCTTTTTAACACGCCCATGAAGTCCTCTTGATGTCTTGCGGCAGTTTTAACGCAGTTAGTGTCCTTCAAAGCTTCACCGATCTGCTTTGAAACCTGCTTCAGTAGCACGAAGGTGGCCTCGCTATTTTGGTTCTGCTTGAAGCGTGTAAGCGCGTCTCGGACGCGAAAAATTGGAAGGCCCTGGAACTGCATCGCCAAAAAGGCGTCATATGCCATGCGACTGTCACGCAGCCTGCCCTTGCCACCGAACAGGCCAATAATACGTGAGAGTGCGTGTTTGAAGTCCCCACGCACGCACAGAAATCCCCGCAGAAGGGAACGCACTTTGTCTATCTCTTGGTTCTGCGAATAAGCCTCAACCGCCATATCCGCCAACCAAGGCGGAACGATAATCGCCTCTTCGTCTTGGAGGCTTGTCTTTTCTTGCCCATTGGTCGGGTTAGAAGCATCGCTCACTGGTACGGCGTATGAATCAACGATCGCCGCAGCTTGGGCAAATTTGCGTGCATCCAGCAACTCGTGCAACAATGGTGTATCTGCCTCTTTTGTTCGTGACTCAGACTCCATCTCCACGTGTGCTTGTGTATGACCGTCCTGTGAGGGTGACGAGATCAACATGAACGGTGTGCCGTGCAAAAGTTCCAGGTTACGAGCAATCAGAGCATGTACGCGATCGCTGAACGGCGCGCCATTGTCACGCATCTCTTTGAGAATGAGTACCAATTCATTCCCAGGGGCACCACCAATACCCAACTCCTCAACAATCTCAAGCATCGTCGGATACTGTGCTGGCAGCATTTTTACTCCAAAGCGGCGACGGTTTGCCAGCAGGGCGAGTGCATGCTTCGGCCGGGAGTTTTCACGACACACAATTAATAGTTTCATGAGTGTTTTGGGCGTCAACCGTGACTGAGATCTTCGAAAGAAGTCCAACGCCAGATCAGGTTCTCCTGCGATTCCCAGACTAGTAATTACGCGATTCACGTCGGCCTCGTGCCACTTTCTCCCATCTTGCGGGTCCAGCTTTTTAGCCGCCTCCACCACGGTCTTCACTTCTCCCTTCGTCGCCTGAGCAACCATCACTCGGGTTACGATTTCAACGGAAGGCTTGACACCGTTAGCTTCCATGTCGCGCATCAGCGTCTTCACGCCTCTGAAGTCTTCAAGTGCGATAGCAGCACTAATACCAATGCGGTAGATGATCTCGGGCGGGGTCTGGCGTTGTTCGTGGTCGTATCGAGTCATACCACGCTCATATACCCCGCGCATCCTCTGAAATTCCTTAGCAGCCATGAGGTTGTCGAACATTTGCACATACATCGTGAAGCTAATGTGGTACAAGTAGTGGGTCTCCATGTAGTTGAAGACGTCTCGCTGCAACTTAGGCAATCTGCAGCGTCTCGCAGCCTCGTAGAAGTCCTCAACAATCTCCGGAGCTACTACTGCGCTTCCATCTGCGTGGATGCTCAACTCCTTCCACGTCATGGGCAGTGTCTGTCGCACCTTGGACATCTCCACAGGTCCGTAGTACTCTTGTAGCTCGACCCACGGCCGCCGCACCAGCTCATGAAGTGCCAAGTCGCGCACTTTGATGTCATCACTGCGGGCTTCATAGGGAGTGTTGGAGAAAGAGCTCAGCGCTCGACTTGAGGCAGCAAGATGTCGAGTGCATGGAACACATACAGCCAGACGCGTGTGGAGTCTGGATACGTCCACGCGACGCACCGCCGTCGCGCGGGCAGCCACCAGAGCGGAGCTCCTCGCCAGTCGCCGCCACATTAGAGTTGTATTGACACCCGGCCGAAAATCAGCCAATCAGTGACCTAGAAACGATGGTGAAGAAGTTATGGCGTGCTGCCAGCAGCATGGGAGTTAGTTTCTGTTCATGAAGCTTTTTATCGTTGTTATTGCCTTCTAGCTAACTGTCTATTCAGTGGTCACTAGCTCCATGGCTCTATTTGACATCTTCGGAATGCTCAACTCGATGTCGTCCAGAGCGAGAAGCCCAAAAACTGGTCTGCCTGATCTATTGGTGACAATCTACTCCTCGTCGTCCGACTGCTTGTCCTTGCGCTCGCGATGTTTCCTCGTCGAATTACTCTGACCCGAGCTGATCTCGTCCATGGCCTCCTGTCCGAACAGCGTGATCATTCGGTCACGCAGGATCAGCGCCTGCTTCCAGAGGCCGTTCTTCTCGCACAATTTTAAAGCCACAGTGTACATCGTCTTCACTTTCCGGAGAGCGTGAACGTCACCGTGTTGACGCCTGACGAAGGCCGCTTCCAGGTTCCCTTTGCCTTCCTCAGCAGGAGCCACTTCCTTCAAGTTACCCTTTTCAAAGAGACGAATGATGTCCAAAACCTTGAGCGAGAGGTCCTTCTCTCGGGCCAAGTGCACCAGCTCGTAAGCATCTGCCAACCCGACAACAAAGTCACGGTCTTCCAGCAGCGCAATCATGTTGTCGACGGTTTCCAGCTTCTGAGCTTCAATAGCTCCACGCAGCACTGATACCACAGCTCTAAACGTGTAGCCACCACACTCCTCGGGCATCTGCATCGTGATCTGCTCGGCTTCTTCAATGTTGCCCTCCTTGGCAAGCTTCGAGATACGAATAGTCACCCAGCCTCGCGGGACGCCACGCGTTTCCTTCTCGTTCAAAGAAGCCACGGCTTCCTCATAGAGCTCTCGAACCTCCGAGATGTTACCTTCTTCAGCCATAAAGTTCAGCAGTGTTTCATAGCACAGGTGTGGCAAGATGTAGCTATCGTTGGGGTCGTTCTGAGCTTCGGCAAAAGCCTCCAGTAATTCCAGTCGCTGCTGCTTGTTAGCTCCAACGTAGGCAGGACACAGGAAGCCCACTACAGCTCTGTTCACCTTCACGTTACGGCTCCTGAGGTCTTGAAGCACCATCTGAACATTGTTAATGTCGTATTTCACCTTTCGGTTCGCGTTGTTGTTCCGCAGGTGTTTGCGCATTGAGCTGAGAATTGTGACGTAGTTGCCTTGATTTGCATCCAGGTCGCGGCTCTCCATCATGTTCAACGTATCCAGAGCTTTCTCCACCTGGCCATTCTCGACCAGTGTTTGCAGGACCAAGTTGATCACCTTGCCAATGTTGAAATTCACAAAATATGGCTTGGGCTGGTACTCACCCACATCTTCATCTGCATTTGCCACAGACATGTCCACATTTCTCCCATCCTTTCCCCAATACGAAGCTAGCACTTGTTCGAATAGCTCCACAGCAGCGTCGGGATCATGGAAGCGACGGAAAAGCTTTAGTGTGTCGTCTACGCGGTAGATCTGAACACCTTGGAAGAGCATCGCCTTACTAGCAGCATAACTGAGCTCGTCTCCCGTCTTGTTTCTCAGCTTCAGGTAATGAGTGATCACTTCAGCCAGAGCGTAGGCGTACTTGCCGCGCACCACGGAGAAACCCTTGACCAAAGCAGCCACCTTGTCGTGCTGGTTCGTCTTGATGTACACTCGCACAGCGTCTCTCGCCACAGAAGGACTCACAATCAACGCGTCGTCAGGAATTTCACCTTCAAAATCTTCAGGCAATTGCGACTTTTCCACGGGTTTCGCAATGGAATCCACCAACTCCGCCGCTGCCTTTGTGTTACCCTGAGCAAGCATCTCGCGAATTCGTGGGCTTAGAGTGAAGCCTGCAGCTTTGCTCTTGTTGGGATCAGCGACAAAGGTGGTATCCTTGAGGTATTCAGCGTTGCGCTCGATAATGTTGTTCGTTCGGGTGTCAAAACGCACGTTGTTCTCGACCATTTCCTCCAAAATTTCCTTGATCTCGTCGTTGCGCTCGAGGAATTCCAGCGTCATCATAATGCGGTTGTAGCCACGAGCATCCAAGAGCAGATCGAACTTCTTACGATT